TTTTCCATTAACTGTAATAATTTATATTAAAATTAATAATAATTTTATAATTTTTCAATTGAAATTAACCAATAGTTACGAGCATCCTCCTTTTTCGAGCATCCCTATATTTCCTTTTACTGTATCAATAAAAAATAATTAAAGCAGGGTCGGCCAAGATCCAGTTTTTAAACAACTTCGTGGCAATCTCTAATACGTGTCAATATATATTTTAGTTTTAGCATGTTGTTAACAAAAAACTTAAAAAGTTTTTTATTGTTAAAATGTTTTAAAAAATTGGTAAAACTATAGTTAACGATTTAAACAAAATTTTTATATTGTTTAAATCGTCATTACAATTTGTTATAATCCAGTTTTAAAGAACAATAATTGAACAGTAAAAAAGCATACGAAATGGTAAAATGCAAAGTTTTTAAAATTAAATAACAATACTCACTCCTTATAATTGTTGTATACACAAAAGATACTTACAACCAATAAAATTATTAGAAATGATTTTAGTGATTTCAACGTAATATTTTTATTTTAACAATTAATATACTTTTTCAACATACACATTAATGTTAATTGTTAATGTCTGTATTTTTGTTATTTGACAAATGTATATTTGTCAATTTAACAAAGGTTTTGAATAGTTCATTCGTGTCCTTTTTAAATATCGTATAAATTAAACAATCAAATAGAAGTATTTTCATTATCTTTAACAATAATACAAAACAAACAATGTATTATTTTTCGAATGGAGTGAATCATATTACTTTCAAACCAGTAAAACTTAATTTTAGTACGTTTTCTTGATAAAAACGATAATTCATAATACGATAATAATCAATCAAAATAATTATTATCACCCAAATAAAAAAAACTGTTATCAGAGTAACTTTGAATAAGTTTTATTTGCATGTATAATTTACAATTGAAAGGTTTGGTGTACAATTAAATCAACACAAATATATATGTTTATTGTTGTATTCTAAAGTAATTTGAAAACAATTTGGTGTTTAATATAAATTATCGTTTTATTTTTCTTCATTTTATCTTTTGGTATAAATAATTGTGTTTTGTCATTATTATTTTGTTTTTTGAAAATGATTGTGTTATTTACCATTTTATTGTTTTTTAAGTTTTTTTCCAATAACATGATCGTTTGGCCGACCCTGATTAAAGTGAGGAAAAAACCCGCACCCATTTTCTTTTTTCTTTTTTGAAAAGCTGTTGAATGAAAAAAGGTTCAGTCTCGGTTTTTTGGTTAATTAAGAATGTTCTTATAATTAAAATACAATATAAAAACTACATGAAATTAACCTTGAATAACAAATATAAATTATTACGAAATTAAAAATTAATATCTATTTTCCTGATATTTCTAAGTTAGTGATTAATAAGCTTTTGAACATATTTTAGGTTTAATTTTAATATAATTTATTAAATGTTTAAATTAAAAAATATAATATATGGTTCAGTTCCTAATACATACTTTAAACAATTAATTACTGATTAGTTTAATATAATATCTAAACTATAGATTGTTATTCAGTTTATTAACCATAAAAATACTAATAATAAATCAATAATTTATATCCACTTTAAACCCATTTCTAATAGTTAATAAATTGTATTTATCAGCCACTTAAACATAATAAATAACACAAAAAACAAACAAACATAAGTCGCGCGTAATTTGCATTATCTAATTGTATATTTACACGCGCCATGTGTTTAAATAAATAAATAAAATTGCCAAACGGTAATGGGAATCAAATTAAAAAAAATTAATTCTTGGTTATCATTATTTAATAATGTCATTCCATTTTTTTGTATTAAAAAAACTCTCTGAAATAAACCTTCTATATTAAAATTTAAACAATTAAAAAACTATATATATTAATAATTATAATATAGTATTTTTAATTATTGAAATTATTATATATAATCATTTACTTGTTAATTGTTTTTATTATTTAATTTAGATATATGGTTAAATAATTTAACATAAGGTTAAGTTCTCAAAACATGAACAATAAAATAATTTCAAACCATAAACTATACAGCTAGACGAAATAAACTTCTGCAAAGAATCAACCTTCTGCAGCTATTATTGGATCGGATAATAATTTACATAAAATTTCGATTTTTTATTTTGATTATGAGTTTAAACTAAAATTAATTATTAATGAACACTGATACATTTGTTGATGAAATAAAACGTAAGATAATCGATGGTAATTATGAAATCGACTTTGAAACATTAATACAAAAGAGCAAACAAAACCCCGCTTTAAGCCGAATTGAAATGATTTCAAATATTTCAAAATCAAAAAGTATGTTGACGAAAAAACAACAACCATCCCTAAAAACATTAAAGAATCCGAAGAATTGTATTTACAATTGGAAGACGACGTTTTCATGAACACAACAGAAGTAAATCAGATACAGATGATATACAATACTTACAAAACAAGCGAGGCAACATTGGGTGTTTTGTTCGGATTAACAGGAGGATCCATTCACACACACTTAAAACAATATACAATTGAACCAAAAAAAACACACAAATTTTACTTTCGAAATGGATGTAGCAATTAGTGAAGTGTTTAAATATTGTCAGAGAAACTCAAAAGCAGTAACTCCATATTTCATTCATTCAATTTGCGAACAATTTGAACCAACATTCAATATAACAATTGACGAAATTGTAAAACACGTTGCAAAATACCACAATAAAACAACTGTTTTTGTTAATCCAGACGAACTGGAAAGGGTTGAATGCAAACCACAAGATGTGTTAGACAATTATATAACATTTGCTGAAAACTTCAATGGAACACCTTTCGAATTAGTTTTTAACATCGACGAAATAGGTTTCAATGAATACTCCGACAGTAAAAAGTTAGAGTGTTTGACGACAAAACCAAAGTTGTACATAAAGTTGGAATATCAAGAAATTGCAAAAGATCAACTGTAATAGCTTGCATATCAGCTGACGGTAAATTTGTCACTCCTGGTATGGTGATTCCTAACAAACATTTTAGCAATTCAGTATCATTGAGTTTTACAGATTTGACAGTTTATTCATATCCGAGTGGTTTTATTAACAAATATATTTTTTTCAAACTTGGATGATTGAACGCGTTTTGGGTTACATTGTAAAAAGAAGATCCGAAGTTGGTTTAAACAGTGACGTGAAAGCGGTTATTATATTAGATAATTGTTCGGCACATATTGATGAAAGATTAAAATCATTGTTTGCATCGCACAACATAATATTGCATTTTATAGTACCTCATAGTAGTCATTTATCACAACCACTTGATTTGTGTTTATTTGGTGTTGTTAAAAAATGCTCAAACACGACTACACCACTGTTCACTTGTCAAACCACTCAACAAATCAATTTAAAAACCCAGTGTTCAGATAAAATTTCAAATGATTTACAACAAAGAACAAGCGACGAACAACCAATATTAGACCAATCCAAATCAGAAAAATCATTAATAAAGTGGATAAATTCATTGGAAGATCCGATAACAAAACGAGCAATAAAGGATTCAAAAGCCAAATGGGGAACACTAATTACTTGTCAGATAAACAAAGTAATGAAAACCATCTATAAAAAAGCAGTTCCAGAAACAATAGAGGCGTCACTTTTGTGTGCTGGATATAAATGTATCATCAACAACGGAAGAAAAAGAGTTTATGTCAACATTGAAAGCGCAAGTGTTTTTCTTAAAACTCTTATCTCAACTCCACCATTAGAAGTTTTGGAAAAACTCAGAGCTCCTGAAAACAAAATTGAATTGTGTAGAGCGACAGATGTAAACGAAAGAACAGTAATCGAATTATACAATAAAATTGAATCAACACAGTGGTTACCAATCGAAACTGAAAAAAGCACACCAATGTCTGTTCCAAACTAATCGGTAAATAATTTGTTTGTTACAAATACCCAAGAAACGCAAGTTTCAGTTATCACCGAACAAACATTGTGTGAAACTGATAAAGAAATATTAAGTATGCCATTGTTTGATGAAAATGGTATAAGAAGGCCTTTAACAAAAGAAGAATTGGATCAGTTGCAATATGAACAAGACATGATTGAACTTGAATGACTTGATGATCAATACATGTCAATCACTTGTTAAACAGTAAAGTTCGTTAACTGAGTATTGTTCATTTTTAGTTTGGTTTTATTTTAACTTTTTGATATTTATAAGACCAATTATATACTGCAGAAGGTGTATTAATAAATTACTGTAAATAAAAACATATCCATTTGAAGTTGAAAAAAATACTATTAAAAATGGTTTAAATTGTTATTATTTATGGTTATTTTTGAAAAACAATCTGCAGAAGGCTGTTTCGTTGCAGAAGGTTGATTCGGCTAACTGTATATATAAGTAAATAAATGATTATTATTTTAATGAATTAAAATTAAAATTAAAATTAAAATTAAAATTAAAATTAAAATTAAAATTAAAATTAAAATTAAAATTAAAATTAAAATTAAAATTAAAAAAACAACTAAAACTAGATTTAAATAGTTGTTTTCTTTTATTTAAAACACCTTGTTTTTTTAATTTTTTAAAATTTGAAGATGTTAACAATAATATGTTTTTTTGAAAATCTGTTTGACGACTATTATATTAAATTTTACAAGAAATTCCAACAAAAATAGAAAAGTAATTACGCGGGAGGGTTGTGCACGGTAGGTTGCTGAGCACCCGGAGCGAACGGAGAATAATACCCTTGTTGTTGTTGTTGAGGAGGTTGTTGGTACATTTGTTGAGCCCCTGGAGCGAAAGGGGAATAGTACCCTTGCTGTTGTGGTTGTGGTGGGTATTGTTGAGGAGCTCCTGGAGCAAAAGGTGAGTAAAATGGTTGTTGTGGATTTGTTGCTAACTGAGGTTGTGCGCTTCCGTACATTTGATCCTGTTGTGGATTCTGTGCTTGTGGTGGGACTTGTGGAGTCTGATATGTTTGTTTAGTAGAGTCCTGGACGCCTTGTGTGTTTTGTGGTGGTGGTACTTGTTGATACATTTGAGATTGAGGTATTGGTTGTTGATACGTTTGTTGTTGTGGTGTTTGTTGGTATTGCATTTGTTGTGGTTGTTGAGAATATTGTTGTGGGCATTGTTGATACATTTGTTGTTGTGGTTGTGCTTGTTGTAATTGTTCACCCATATACGTTCTTCTAAATGTTGCTGACAACTCTCTGACTCTGTTGAGTTGCAAAACCAAGACGCCTTCCTTCCCAAGTGGTATTTTCATTTCTACCTGATCTCTTCCTTTGAAATCCGGCCACACTGTCTTTGTCTCAACTACGACATTTTCTTTGATTGAGAACATTTCTCTGAAATACAATTTGGCAGTAACGGGTTGACCAACATACAATGGAATAATAAAGCTTTGGAACCAACCCTTTGGTATATAGTAACTATGTTTTCCAGTCTTTTCTTTAAAAGCCCACGACGTTCTATACAGCTTTCCATTCGTCTCAAGACCAATAGCTGGTATAGTAGGAGTAAATCCACTATAAAATCCATTGTTATTGACTCCCTGTACCATTACTTCGCATGGGAATGCATAATCAGAAGCATAATCCTTTGGTGGAGGAATCATTTGGGGTGGCACATTATGATAGACTCCACTCATACACTCAACCTCTAATTTCACACGAGCGCACGGCTCTGCTGTGATACAAAATTCTTCTTTCTCACCATCTCTGTAATCTGGTACTTTCCAATACCCAACACAGAGTTCTTGACCGTCTTTTGACTTCATCGAGCCGTTCATGAAAGAGTGTAATTCGATGATCTCTCCGACTTTGGCTTGAATTATGTAATATCGTGCACCACCCATCAACTCATCTCTGTAATTCAAATTGACTATCTTTGTTGTTCCAGCTCTGATAGTCCCGCAACTGGTTCGAAACTCAGTCTTAAATACATCGAAGCTTGGTCCAATCATCAACCCATTTTTAGAACAATAACTGTAACCCAAACCTACTATATTCACAACGCGGATTTTAAGGGTTGTTGGTTTAAACGGCTGAACTTGTTGCAATGTAAGTGGCGCTCCACCTTCTTTGCACTTAACGGAAAACATGATGTGGCCCTTCTTGTCAACTTTTGATATGAAATACTGCGTATCACCATTGAACATTGGAGGTACAGTCCATTGTGCACTTCCCATTGAATCATTTTTACCAATAACATCATAGTCAAAGATGTTGAATGTGATCACTTCACCAACTTTGAGTTGGACATCAAACTCTTGCAGCCACTCGGCTTCTACAGTCATGTGGTCCACCTTCGTCTTATATTTCTTCCCATTGATTTCAAATTTAACGAATGGGTCAGAGGACATGAGGTCTTGAACAGAAAGGTCACGTCCACATATCAATTTCAATGTACAGTCCATCATCTTCTTATTAATAATTTAAAGTTGGATTCTTTATATGCTTTTTTTAATGTTAATTTCATTTATTTTTTTTAATAAATAATAAATTCAAAAAGATAATTCGAACAATGAAGAATCCTTGAAAGACGAAATGTATTTTAAAATATAAATAAGTCGGGTATTGTATTTCAAAAGACTTTATTTTTTAATAGAACAAATTAAATTAAAGTTTTAATATTTTTTATAATACAATTCTAAAATTTGTTTTTTTCAAAAATTCTTTTGTACATCGAAAATTTATACAATCATTGAAATTTGAATGGTTTGTGTTTAACATTTCGCTATATTTGGTTTGAGATCTATCGAGTTAACCCCAAATTGAAATATTTTTATCATGTAAAGTATACTGTTTAGATATTGATTATTTCAATTTCCCATTTATGCTTTGTTAATTGTGACTGTATTATTACTTTAAATTATTATTCTATTAATAATATAATAAAATAATAAAAGATGTAATTATGTAAATGAGTTAATGACTCTTTGAAAGAGGGATGATACTCAACACATGGAACAATTAAAAAAAAGTATAAGTTATTAAATTGATATTTTAATAAAATGTATATTTTTTAAAATTTCAGAGACATAACAATTGTATTATAAACTCTATTGGCTCTTTGACCACAATTTAAAGTTAGTCATTACAATACACTTAATTAATAAAACAATTCTATTACTTTTGGTATAAACAAGAGTGGTATGTGCATTGTAAATATTCTAATTGTATAATTCAACTTGTTACAATTTTAGTTTTAACTAGATATTAGATATTTATTTGCAAATCATCTGTTATTGTAATAATATTTCCTGATCATGAAACAAAGATAAACACCAATCAAAAAGTTAATTACTTCATCACTTCAAGCATCATTTTCATACTCAAGCACTTGGCATTGATATCTTCTCGTAATGTTTTGGTGCACGCTTCCGACACAACCCACTTGATATCAGCTCCGCTCATACCTTCCGACTTTTGTGCCAACAATGAGACATCAATATCTTTCTCAACTGGGATGTTACGTAGTGCGACATTGAATATTTCGACTCGTGTTTGTAAGTCTGGTTTTGGTATCTCAATCAAACAATCGAATCTGCCTGGTCGGAGTAGCGCTGGATCAATTAAGTCCTTCCGATTACTCGCAGCAACCAACACCACGCCCTCCATCTCTTCAACACCATCCATTTCATTCAACATAGTGGATAAGACTCTATCTCTGACACTATCTCCTCCACTCCCTCCACTTCTGATACCAACAACAGTATCGATCTCATCGATAAAAATGATGCATGGCGTTGCACTTCTGGCTCTTCTAAAAGCGTCTCTTACAGACGCCTCTGCGTCTCCAACAAACGGCGAGTAAATTGTTGCGCTGTTTAAAGTGATGAATGAAGTGTTTAACATAGTCGCAGTGGCTCTCACAACAGACGTTTTCGCACATCCACTTGGGCCGTACAAAAGCACTCCCCTCGATGGTCTGATGTTTAACAACTGAAATCTTTCTTTGTGTAACATTGGCCACTCTATCGCCTCCGTCATCGCTTCTTTGACATTCTGCAACCCACCAATTTCGTCCCAAGAGAGTCTGTCGTAGTCCGTTTCGCTTCCGATGAGTACCGATGGTGTAATGAAAGTCATAGAATGCAAATAGACCTCTTCTAGTTTACTTTCCTCTTCACGCTGATTCTCTGTGTTTTCAACAGTTTGTGTTAATCGCGAGTTCACTTCGTTCTCGAGCAAAACCAAGTCGTTTGCAAGATATCCCACAGCCTTTTTAGATATCTTTCTGTGGACGTTTTCGTGGTGTGGCCGAAGGGTTTCCAATATTTGAAATCGCGTGTCAACATCGGGTGGGGGGATGACATACTCCTCAGTTAATAAATTTCCTTTGAAAACGGGTGGAACTGCTTTTGTGGATATACAGAGGACGGTGTTGTGAAGTAACAACTCTTTTATCGTTTCATATAACACGTACGAGTTGTCCTTCAAGAGCTCATCTATATCATCAAGAATAACAACTGAATTGTGAATGTGAGTATCTACACATGTCGTGTCCTCTGTGATCTGATAGTGTGGGTAATACCTCACTGTATTGGCCTGCGATGCACAGTACTTTGCAATTGTCGACTTCCCAGACCCGTGTTCACCTAACAACAAAATCCCACAATTCTTCTTCTGAAGTAATTTGCTGAGTGTTTCAAGGGTATTTTGGTATCCGACGGGTTTGACAAGAGCGCTTGGATTTTGTAAAATTTCGAATTTTGTTTCGTTGGTGATTTTCACGAATGAAGGCGTTTTGCCGGTGACAATTTGCAAGTTGAGTGTGTTGATCGTCACTACACAGTTCTCGCAAATGACTTTGTTTAATAGTAACATTTTAATATACTTTTCTATATTGACGGCTTCACTAAACGAATAGAGAGAAGGGTTTAAAGAAGTCACACGTAGAGAAACACTCGTTGCTGTGGAAACGTTTGTCAGAGGAGAAATGTTTATGATTTCTTGTGATGAACAACTCTGACCTGACAGACTTATCATCCTATCGATTGTGCACCCCTCTTCTATAATTGAACTGAATGCACTCACTCGACATATGTAGGTTGTGTTATCTGATAAAGTGACTAAAACATACTCCTCGGGCTTCAGTCGCAACTTTTCAATAACCTTTTGAGTCAATCTGAGCTTACCGCTGTCCTGTTCTCCATCGTTGGCGACCAAGTGGAAATCCATTACTTTTTTAGTTTAATTTAGTTGTTTTTTTACTATATTTATTATCTAATAATATTTTAATTGATTTAATAAAAAACTATAAAATAAATAGTTTAATTATTTCTTATTTTTTTGAAAAGTTTTTTTTTGAAATTTCTCAGCCACTTAATATTTTATTAAAAATCAATTAACAACAAATAATATAATAACTAAACTATAAAAAAACTATATGAAAGGAAGATTCTTTGAACAAGAAAATTTCTTCTTCATTAACTAAAAGAACTATAAAATTAAGAGATGAACAACAACATTGTCTATACTGCGACATCGGCAGGATCAATGCCATCAATGGGATCCGAACCAGAAACCCCACAACAAAATACCACAGAGAGTTCAGGGATTATGCACAACAATTTGGCTGCTATAGATCCGTTACGTAAAATGTTATTCAACCCCTCCGACAAAGATAAGTTGGCAGCCCTCAAAGCTATTTTAAAATTAGAAACTGAGGGGTTGGACACTTCAGAATTGTTTGCAGAAATAGCGATGAATGTGGGAAGTCAAGAGATGGAGTTAAGGAAGCTGGTCTGTATGTATATAGTCTCCCACTCTGAAAAGGACCCAACAAACGCGTTGATGGCTGTCAACACTATGCACAAAGCACTGTCGTCCCCACACACGTTTGTTCGTACTTTGGCTTTACAGTCAATCACGTCTTTAAGAGTGAAAGACATCGCTCAGTTAATGGTCATTGCCGTCTCTAAAGCTGTTAAAGACACCTCTCCATATATCAGAAAAGCTGCTGCGTTGGCTATACCAAAGATATATAACTTAGACGAGCGTCGATTTGACGAGTGCGTCAATTTGATCGTGCAAATGCTCGAAGACAAAAACCCGATAGTACTTGGTTCGACGTGTCTAGCATTTTTGAAAGTGTGTCCGACGCGATATGACTTGATTCACAAACACTACACCAAACTCTGCCAAGCACTTGTCGACTGTGAAGAGTGGGGACAAGTTCCAATGATGTCATTACTGGAGCACTATGCGAGAACCCAATTCACAGACCCTAATTTGACTGTACTGGATGATGACAATGAATTAGATAAAGACTTGATGTTCTTGATCTCATCAGTATCTCCACTGTTCTACTCAATGAATCCGGCAGTCGTTGTGGAAGCTACACTTCTCTATTTCCACGTCGGACACCACCAAGATAGAACACGAGCAGTCAGAGGAATTATGAAGCTGACTTCTTCCTCTTTCATTACTCAGGAATTCTTATTCCCAATTTTGTTGTCACTGGTCGCACAACAACCCTCCGCGTTTGTCGACTACTTGGACGACTTCTTCTTGTTCCCCGATGACCCCGTCGAGATCTGCGAGATGAAGCTTGAAATAGTCACGTTGTTGGTGCAAGAGACAAACTGCCAGAAGATCTTGGACGAGTTGAAGGACTACACGACGTGGAACAACCCCCGAATAGTCACTATATCGATTCAAGCCATGTCAAGACTGTCAATGATCATGCCAGAGACTTCCGAGAGATGTATGGTGCAATTACTTCAGTTCATGTCTTCGAAGAGTCCAGAAATCGTTGCTGAGGCTGTCATTGGCATTAAGAAGCTCCTCCAACAGTCTAAGAATGGGCAGAATGATCCGGAGAGAGATCTTAGAATCATCGGGAAGATGTCTAAGTTACTGATTGACATGAAGATAGCACAAGCACGTGCGTCTATCGTCTGGGTCATTGGGGAATACTCCCAAATGGTACCGAAGTTGGGACCTGATATACTAAGAATCCTCGCCAAGACCTTTGTTGACGAAGAAGAGTGTGTCAAACAACAAGTCTTGACCTTTGCCGCGAAGCTTTATGTCACTAACAAAGCACAGAGCGAGAAGTTGGTGAGGTACATCTTCCAATTGGCCATGTACGACAACAGCTTTGATATCAGAGACAGAGAACGAATGCTCAGGAGATTCCTCTTTGATACCACTGGAGAGTGCAAAGAGCTCCAGAAACAGGCGAAAGAGGTTTTGTTATCAGAGAAGCCGACTCCAGTTGTTGGTGGATTTAATAAAGAGAGACAAGGACTATTAGAAGGCACCCTTTCCCATTATTTGAACACGGTAGTTAGTGGGTATGAAGACCTTGAAGAATTTTCATTGCAAGCGAGTGACCCATCTCTTCGAAAGACTGCGATTGTAGTAGCCGAGCCTGTTAAGAAAGAAAAGGCGAAGAAGGAGAAGAAGGAAGTTGAAGATGACTTAGAAGGATGGCTCAATGGAGATGAAGAAGAAGATGGCAAGAAGAAGAAACACGGAGGGATGTGGGGAAGTGGAGACGAAAGCACATCGGAAGAGGAAGAAGAGAGTGAGGGAAGTGCAAGTGAAGAGGACGGACACAAAGTTGAGAACGTTGAGAAGAAAGAGGAATTAAAGGAACAAAATCAAGACGATATGGACTGGGACGCCGCTCTTGGACTTGTCCAAGACAACTTGAAAAAGGAAGACGAAGACGAGAAAGAGAAAGAAAAGGAAGTCGATCACCAAGACGAGCAAAAAGAAGAAGTTGGTGATGACGCTTTTGAAGCAGAAGGTGGATTTGAAGTTGGAGGAGATGATGATTGGGGGTTGTTAGATGAAAGTGCAAAAGATGAAGAAAAGCCGGTAGAAGTAAAAGAAGAGGCACCTGTTGAAGCTACAAAAGTCGAACAAAAAGAAGAGAAACAAGTTGAAGAGACTAAAGAACCAAAGAAAGAAGAAAAGAAGCCCGAAGAGGTCAAACCTTTAGACCAACACGATACAGATATGAGCGCTTTTATGGGAGGTGATGAAGAAAAGGAAAAGAGCGAAGAGAAAGATGCCCAAGAGTCTGGGTTTGCATTCATCTAATACAAAAGAGTATCTTTTGTTCCGTTTAAAAATGTGTACTATTATATTATAATATTTTACTAATAAAAATAATACAATACTTGTTGTTTGAAATTGGAATGGATTATTTGAGACAAACTAATTTCACCTCGATTTAAAATAGAATATAGAATATATTAATGATAATATTATAATTAAAATTATAGTATGTAGGAATTAAGAAGATAGCAGGTTCTCAATATTTGAACCATTTAATATTAAGATATTAGATGGTTCCCCAATTCAAGAAAAAACGCTGGACAATTACCTTAAATCATTGAAGACAGTGTGATACAGAACAATGTAATTGTGTTAAACAATTTATATTTTATTGTATTTTGGTTTTGGTAATGGTCAGTCCCGTTTTAAATAAGAAATGTCTAGTTTAATTTTTAGCTTGTAAAATTATATTGACTTTTTAAAATAATAAATTTAAACCGTAGTTCAAAAGTGTACAGCCGTATTTTTAGAACTCCCTAAAGTTCCGTTTTTATTTTACTAAAAAACAAAAAATTGAAAGTTCAGACTTAATTAATAAAAATACCAATCACGTTCTATTATTTTCGTACAATATCGGGAATTTTTCGGAATATTAGCCTGCCTTTTCCAAAAAACCTGATCCTGTTATTTGATTTGACCACAACTCGATACGATACAACACAGACTCGACGTTGTGGCTCAAATCATACAACGATAAACACATTAGTAAATTGTGATGTTGTTGTTTGTCAGTTTGTAACTAAATATCAGTTTCATTAAAAATCATTTTCAATTAAATACAAACATGTAGTTTTCTTCTTTGGACAAAAGAAAATGAAACAACTAGTTTCAAAGAAAAAAATTAATTAGAGCAAACATTTAATAATTTTGGGTTTTGATATTCTTGTTATTGTTGTGACAACACCATCAGTATATCAATATTAGGCGATACTTTAGCGCTTGTTATTTATTTTATTATTATAAATGAAGACTCGACTTTGATAAATTTTGTCATTTATTTTATCAGTTTTATTTGAAATGCACTTTTGGGATCAGTCACGTGTTTTTAAGATACAAAAATTTCGTTATTTCAAAATTTATTGGGAAATAATTTAAAAATTCTTCAAGTAAAAAAATATTTTTTGAAGACCGTTTTTCTTTTTTTACTTGGAAAAATAATTGATATTTATTACAAAAAAACGATTCCCAAAAATAATAAACAAAATAAATGCAAAAATTCGGGATACCACACTACAGACTTTTGAAAAACAGTTTATAAACCAGTCGTTTTTAATTAATTTACTAATAAGACTATTAACCATATACAACTAATAACAATAGTATTTTTGATTAATTATCTATAATTAATTTAAGGAAAAAAAGAAAAAAGTACTTCCCCAAAAAATGTTCTTTAGAACTCTTATAAATAGAAGATGTCTCAAACAACAAATGAAATAATGTACTCAGATTGGCCTTTATATCAATTATATGATCAATTCAGCGGTGGAATGTGGGATCTTACAGACGAACAAAAGAAACGATATAAAAAAATTAAAGATGAGAAGAAGCCAAGAACCAGCATTACTCAAGAGATTTACGATAGTAATGTATTAGTTGCCCGTGTTGTAAGTGGCAAAACAAAAAGTCTTGAAGAACAAATAAAAGACTTGAAAAATCAGAACGAAACTCTGCAGACAGAAAAGGAGGAACTTGTGAAGAAAAGTGAAGAGATGCAAAACAACATCAACCAAATGAACAAATACATGGACATATTCGTGGCTTTAGACGACCTGGAAAAAGGTTACCAAAATGATATCACACAACTAATACAACACTACGAAAAGAAACTAACTGAAGAAAAAGAACATAACATTAAAATTATTGCTGAGCTAACAGAACACCATGCAAAAGATTTGGCTGAAGAAAAGGAACATCGCGCAAAAGAAATCCGATCCCGTTGTGACAAGAATGAAAAGAAGATCAAAATGTTTCGAGAGATGATCCATCGACTCAAAGTAGCTCATCCCGACATTGAAGAGTTAAAATTAATGACATTATAATCGATTGTTTCTGTATTTGGTTATTTATTATTGATATTATTTAACATCTTTAAAATGGGTACTTTCATAATGTAAAAATGTATAAAATATTTTAACATCACCATTAACACACAATAGTAATAATAACTTCTTATTATACTTTCAATATTTTTTTTCATTCATCTCTTTCTCAAAAAAAAAGAATTTTGTGACAATCAACAACATGTTATGTTTTGTTGTTTTCAATATATATATATATACAATAAAATACAATTACATAACGATTGTAATTATAATCGTTATATTTACAACATTCTCAACATTGGATATTATGTCTAATACATTCACATTGATCATAATGAAAATTATTCTCTTATTTTAAAAATAATAACAGTCCTGAAAGTGGCTTATTTTAATTAAAAATGTCTGGAGACACAAGTTTAGAAGATGTTTTTTTACCTTTCTCCGTTTAATTGAAATTAACTTCGAATTGATTATCACCATGACATTATTAAAGATGAGTTTGAGTTTTTTACACGTTCATAAATTAATTTCGAACAGATTACATTGTAGGACTGACTTTATATGTTAAAAATATATAAAATGGGGAAGAATTTATACATCTTTTTACATTAACCACTTTAACAATATTTAATTGAATAATAACTGAAGCCATTGGGATTTGGCTAATTATTTTTTTATTTTATTTTTTATAAATAAATTAATAAATAATTGTAACTGTTGTAATTAAGTGGTGTGAGTATTTGAAGCAAATGCCTTAATATAAATTACAATTCAAAAACATCTAAAAACACCCGATATTTTATAACAAATTTAACTATTTAAAAACTCAAAAATACTTTGGATTGTTTTTAATTCATTTGTTCTCTAATTTTTAACACTTTTGATTGGAGACCAACCAAAAACGGGAAAAATCGCAAATTTATAGGACTTGTCCCACATCAAATGTATATTTAAAATGAGCAAAAGCATTTTTATTTAATTACAAAGATTAATTAATTGTTTGAATTTCAAATACACTTCATTTAAAACCTAAAAAACGGGATTTTTTCATCCATTTTTTAGATTAAAAAAAATAAAATTATTTATTTAAAACTGAACAAATTCAAAAAATAATACAAAAACAAAAATAGTGCCAAATACTAATAATAACAATATTTTTATTATTAATTAACCAGCGAATGTCCAGTTCTTTTTTTGTGGGAGTTAGCTTTTTCTGTTTATAAAGCACTTCGCAGTTTCATTATTTTTATACCATATTTTCAATATCAAGAACAATAAACATTAAATATTGCGTTCAAATAACAAGGTATCAATTTTGCTTTAATTACACAATGTAAAAAAAAAGAAAAAAGAACCCCCACTTTTCTTTGATGAAAAGAAGCTCAAATACAAACCATTTCAATCAAAAATATTGAAAATAAAACAAAAATAGTTCGTTTGATGCCGATATAGAAACGGAGTTTCTGGCAACCAATCAAAGCTTAAAAGATCCTCCCCAAAAGACAAGAAATGTCTTTTTGCATTTTAAATACCGTTTCGAAAATTTTTAAAAACAAGTCTCAACTCAATGAACATAGATGAGTGAAACAGCATCAGCAAAGGTGTTCAACACAACGTTCAAAAAAGCTTTGAAATGTGTTCCAGACGTGAAGTTTAATACAATCGATAACTCTGTCTTCTCAAGACACATTATAGAAAACCCATCGACCATTGTTGGCCATGGATTTTCTTTTGGGTTGTCTTCCTTCAACAACTACCCCGTCTTCCCAACAGGTGACAAACAAGGTGAACCAAACAGCGACTATATTGGCATATTGAGGTTTAAGAATGCAACGTGTTTAGTAGTTTGCGACGGGTGTTTGTTATTATATTACTTAGTTATATGTGTATTGCAAGGGATATACTAACAGCAAGGCGGGTGGAATAAGGATAGTGCGAGAGCTTCAAAACTAGCGGTTGAGACTATTCTCTCACTTTCAGTTGAAATTTTACCAAAGGCAGATACACTCAGAAACGCTGCGAAAGGTATAGTCAACATGATGTCATGTGCTCACGATAAAGTTTGTGTTATCAAATGATTTAATCCCCTCATTTCAACATAACTAATTATTAGATAGTTGCTGGTAACTTAATTCGAGTGGCTAATGGCACAACAACGATCTTAGTCGCGTTTACCGTGTGTACCAAAAAGCATCCACAGACCATATTTGTATCAGTCGGTGACTGTGAAGCTTTCATCTACCAACACGACACAAACAAAACAATTCCAATTAATAAAAAGTGGCAACGACCACTTGAGAAAGTGCAGGACTCCCTTGGGTGCATCGGGTGCACTGCAAATGGACTTCCGGATTTGAAGACGCACTCGATCAAAGTGTTTAAGACGAAGGTACAAGATGTTGTGATAGTGACCACTGATGGGATGTCGGACAACATCTCAATGAATAACAATTATAGTAAAAAAGTGTTAGATGAGATCATTACAGAGAAAATGAAGAAGTCGTCCTCCCTCATCAACTTCATAGAACAAATGAATGACTTTGTCATCACTTCTACGGCCGATTTAAAGAGTTTCCATGTGAACAACCCGACTAAAAAACGAGAGGTCGGGATGTTTCAAGGCAAATTGGATCACACGACTATTGGGACGTATATGGTTGATACGGAATATATCGACATAGGAATTGTAGACAATTTCCACTCCTATGAAATAGAGGATACGTATACTCCACATTCTTTACGACAGACTCGGTCGTTATCGCTTGGTTCAAAAGACTTGGTTAATCATCTCACATTAAGTGAAAAGGACCAACGAAATTCTTCCGAAAAGGAGTTCTCATCTTTTGAGCCTTTTTCTGTCTCACAAAAGATCGAATACTCACGCCCTGTTTACACACCAATTTTTAAAAACAAAGGAGGCGCTATAAGTCCACCACAACTCGATAGGTTATCACCTCTAACTATTTCTCCTCCTCAGTCTCAACCGGAAAAAAAGGTCGAAAAGAAAGCTGAAATCGTCTTTAGATTTAGTCCTTCACCAACTCATCAACCCCCGAAGGAAAGTTTCTTTGTGAAATTTGCCCAAAAATGATTATTTGTATTTATATTATTTCTTTGTGGTTCTGTTTTTATTAATTATAGTTTCATTGAATTTTTTCGTAAATTCCGATATATTTTTCAAAGTATTTGTAATTGTTTGTATTTTCTTACACAAATATATTTTATCGGTAATTGTTTTAATTATTAGTTATTTATAATTATTGAACTACAAATAAATAGTAACTAAATTCGGTTAAAAATAATTTATTGAAAAAGCAGAATTTACAATTTTTCCTGATTTTCAAAATAATTCAGACTTTTTAAAATAATAATTTTTTTTAAAAAGAACAGTTTTTTAAAAAGGTTCCACCACGTTTTAAGTGTAGATTTGATAGGTAATCCATTCTGAATCTTAAACTATAAAATATAATACAATAATTTATAATTATAATATCATTTTTCTTTTTTTATTTCACTGGAATTCTATTGAAACTCTATTTCTATAGACGAACTGTAAAATACAAAACATGATTCTGTTCTTTCTTACATTACTCCTTGTGAGCTCTAAATTAACTGAACATCAGCGCACTCTTCACTCAATTTCTAAACAAGCTAAAGAATCAAAAAAGTCGACTGTTGAGACTTTTAAATACACGGTACCTCTTGACCATTTCAATGCAAACAACGACGAGGAGTTTGAAATAGTTTACTTTATCGATTCACAGTATCTTGACAGTGCAAGTGAGACCTCGCCTATATTCATTTTATTAGGAGGCGAAGGTCCTGAGACTGAGAAAGTACTTCAAAACAATTACGTCATCGACGAACTTGCTAAGAAGCACAAAGGCTTAATGCTTTCTGTCGAGCACCGATTCTATGGTACATCGACTCCATCACTTGAATTGAATACATTGAAGTATTGCACTGCTGAACAAGCCATGATGGACTATGTTGAAGTGATCAATTACGTCCAAGAGATGTATAGTTTAGTTGGACATCCAGTGATAGCCTTAGGTGGGTCATACAGTGGCAATCTTGCGACATGGATTCGCCAGAAATACCCAAATATCATTGATGGGTCTTGGGCGTCGAGTGCCCCATTAGAAGCCGTTGTAGACTTCTATGAGTACTTAGAAGTCGTTCAAAGCAATTTACCTGAAAACACTGCAACCCTTTTGACTCTTGCCTTTGAGAAATGGGACGAGATGGTTGTCACGGAGAGTGGGAGGAAACAGCTTGGGAAGATCTTCCATACATGCACGGAGTTTGGAGAGAAGGATATCCAGACGTTCTCGGAGAATATAGGAACAGCCCTTGCGGGGTATGTCCAATACAATTCTTCTGTGTGGAAGAAGAATTATGAAAGCACCAATTCCATCTGCTACGAATTTGACGAAGACATCAATACTAAGTACCCCATGTTCATAGACAAGACCAATACAAAATCGGGGTCGGATTGCACGGGATCGTCACTCGAAACGAATTATAAGGAACTTCGAGACACAACGACATATGAAAAAGGGAACGACGGAGCGTCGGGAAGAGCGTGGATGTTCCAAACATGTGTGGCTTATGGATACTACCAAGCCGTTTCTGAGAAGTCAAATGTGATGTTTGGGAGAATGAATAAGCTCCAAGGCTCTATCGATATGTGCAAAGATATATATAACATCGATAATCAGACTCTTTATCAAGCAGTAGAACATATTAATGTCAGATATGGAGCAAAGAACCCACAAGTCACTAACGTCGCGTTCACAAATGGAGGAGTTGACCCTTGGCATGCACTCGGTATTACTCAACAAGACGCAGTGGACAGTAGTAACATCGTCCAATATATACAAACAACTTCTCATTGCTCGGATTTGTACTCGGAAAAGGAAACAGACGCTCCAGAACTTAAAAGGGCAAGACACAAAGAGATGAGATTCTTCGAGGAGTTACTCGAAAATCTCCCCAAGAAGTAAAATACTTTTTTGTGGTTCAGTTTGTATGAGTTTTGTACTACACAAGTCGTATTGATTTTTTATTTGTCAATTGGTATAGAATAATTAATAGTCAATTCACATTGGAATTTTCTTTTTAATTAAAAGAAATAATAGTATAGTTTAAATATAGTATATTTATAGAAAATGTCTCAAGTCGACAAACTACTTTTCCTTTTTTTCAACTCATCAGATTTCATCAACACAATTTATTGGTTTGTAAGTAGAAATTTCCAAAACTATAATTTATTAAAAAACAAATTATTGATATAAAAATTGTCTCAACGAAAAGAAGAAATACAAATTCAAAGGAAAAATCGAAAAGTGTTAAAGAGTATAAATAGAGTTTGTACCTTCTTTGGTCATTCAATGTTTTTCTTCTTCTTAGCCTTCCTTTTGGGATTGGTCTTAGCGGATTCATGCAGCTCAAACAACGGACAGTTTGCTTGCAGTGGCAACGACATTGCAATGAAAGCGTCTGCAGAGGACTCGAGATGGCAAACGCCACCACGTGGCAGTGCAGACTGGGTAGAGGGGTATCAGGGATACTCCCATGTAGTTGGGTACGCACAGGTGAAGTACACATCGACTGCGAGAACAGCAGCAACTGTTACTGTTGTTCCATCTGTGAACCCAAAATATAACATCAAAAAGATCACATACGAATACAATGGTGTCGCCTCAGACTCTGAAGTGTACCAAGTCTCTAAAGAGACACTCCCAACGGAGGACTTGAAGATTAAAGTGATTGTCCATATGGACAACGAAGAGACTGAATACATCAATTTGGAACCCCTCGACTTCGTCTGGAGTATTCCAGCAGCCAATTTGCCATCTAACTATCAAAAGGGACAGAAGGGTGGTATCGTTGAAATGTTTGGATGGCCATTTGAAGATATTGGAAAGGAGTGTGAGTTCATGGGCAAAGCGGGGTGGCTTGGCGTGAAAGTGTATCCCCCACAAGACGGAGTTCTTTCATTTGATCAACCACAGGACAATTTGTTGAATCCATGGTATTGGGTCTACCAACCCGTCGCTTACAAGTTGACTTCGCGTATGGGGACTCGTGCGCAATACAGAGAGATGGTCAAGAAGTGCCGAGCTGCAAATGTCTTAGTGTACAACGACATGGTCTTGAATCACATGTCTGGTGGAGGAAATGATGTGTTGAATCACTGCAATGGAGGGACATTCTGGGGACCAAAACAGTCATTCAGCAATTCGCCGTACTACACATTGGGATTCACATATGGCACAGACAAGTACACTGGTAAGATCAACACCGCCGAATACCCCGGCTCAGCATATGGCCCATTACACTTCCACTGTGAAAGATCGCTCAACTCGTGGAGTGACGGATTCATTATGAATGCTGGATATCTCTCCGGTTTGACTGATTTGGCCACCGAGAATGATTATGTCAGAGACAGAATAGCGACGTGGATTGTCGAGAACTTGGGAGCGGGTGCTTCTGGTATTCGTATGGATGCTGCTAAGCACATCTGCCCCGATGATATTGCTGCCATCTTTGGTAAGGTGAAGACGTACATGGGTGGGGCGTTACCGGACGACTTCATGGCATATCTTGAAGTGATTACCGGCGGTGAAGGATATTTGTTGGTCACTGATTATAACAACTATCAGTACACTCAATACTTGACTGAGCAACTCCAGAAGAATGGCTTGAGTGAGAGCGACATTATGAAGGTGAAGATCTGGCAAAGTTGGTATCCAAAAGAATGGGGAATGGGCGAAGGAACAATTGCATGGGAGAGACTTGTGATTGAAAATGATGACCACGACCAACAGAAGCCAGGAAGCTCATCGCGTGATATGCAAGACTTTGGCTCCGTCTTAGTCAAAGAGAAAGACATCAACAAACACAGAAACTTTGAAGTCCAATTGTTCTCAAGAACAGACAGAAACTGGACACACCGATTGTTATTGTCTTCATACACATTACAAGATGGATTGAATGGAAATGACGGATTCCCCGATGGACTTTCTGACTGTTCTTTGTGCACTGGAAGTTATTGTGGCAGTTGCAAGTCGATTCCAAAGAGGGACGCATATGTCGCTGATGCTACTGGATATACAGTCGAAGGATGGAGAGGCAGTGACTATACCAGAACACACAGAGACACTGCTATTATCAATGCCATGAGAGGATGGATGGGCTTAGGTTCCATCTCAGCCAAAGAACTTGGTATCAAAGACGAGTAATTCATTTCACTTAGTACTATTAATAATTATTTATAATAATTATTATTCTTATAATTAATAATAATAGAAACTATTAAATATATAAACTATAAAATATAGTTATATATTTATATATAAACTATATAAAGTTATAATATTTGTTTAATTAACAAACCATTTATGTAATTCTATTAATAGATAACGTTGTGAATATTAAAAAAAGAGCGACTTGTAACACATTTTAACACCAAACAAATACAAATTACATACAGACCACTCATTCTTCAATATTTGAAGTCGCATTTTCTTTACCGAATTTACAGAGCAACCATTGAACATCAACGTTTCTCTCGAAGTTGAATTTGGCTTCTCTTGAAGCGAAGAGGTTACTCATGACATTAGAAATTAAACGGACTTTTGTCATATTGAGTTTGTCCTTTTCAAGAAATGTTGGTAAGTCGTCGAATCTGATGACTTCACCCATCCACATAGCAGTGATTGGGATTTTTGGGTATCCACAGAGTTCAAACGTAGCGAAGTAATTTTTGAAGTTCTGTTTTATCGAGAAGAGTGTCTCCAAGTGAGTCCACATGAGTCGAGCCGTTGAACTCAACTCGGACATTTGAATTCGTTTCATCATTAAATGTGAGAGTGAAGCATATATCAAATACGAAGTATTAAACCCTCCCAATTTGTGACAATACGATGCACTTTCAATGAAGAATTGAATGAGTTTCTTCGATGGCATTTTACTTAAGAAGTGGATAGCAAGCTTTTCGACGACTTTTACGTTATTAATATACTTCTGCAGTGTATTGAAGTTCTTTGTTGTGTAAAATTCGTTGAACGAGACGTTTTTGAGTGCGTCGTGGTCGAACAAGATGACTTGTTTAGCGAAGTCTTCTGATGTGATCAAATTGAGTCTAAATAAGTCATCGAGTGTAGTCTCTGTCTTCACTTCGTTGACTGTGTTCAAGAGATTAGTCATATTAAGACTCTTCACTATGGTGTCTCGTCTCATTTGTAACACTTGAACAAATTGTTCTTGGACTATACCAAGAGTGAATACTTTGGTCTTCAGTAACTCATCAAGTTGTGTTGGGACTTGTTCTTTAAATATGACTGTCCAGCTCAATAATAAGTCTTGCATTCTCTTTCTTGGAAAGTAGATGTTGTGGTTCTGCCTTTTGTACTTGTCGAGAGTCTCAGCCAAGTGGTTAAGTTTGTCTTTGAAATTGTCTTTGTTGATGTAGACGAAGTACTCCAATATGAAGACATTTGAAGTTAGAAAGGGCGATTCAAGATAGGACCTCCAATGGAACTCAATCGTGCAACTGCGGAGTGATCCATCAAAATTAAATGAAGCTTGACTGTCTTCTGGACAGAAGATGAATTCGATGTTGTTGAACACGATATGTAGAAAAGCTCGGAGAGTGGGTGGAGGGACACTTCCTTCGAAGAAGAGTAGAGGCAAAATGAGTGCTCGACTTCTCTGAGTCATTTTTATATAATTGACAAGTCTTTGAAATAAGAGTCGATGGGTATGTTCCATAGACCAAACGACTATTCTTGCACTCTGCTTGTTAATCGACAGAAACCAGTTGGTCGACAAAAAGAAGTGTACTTTGTCCTTCTCTATAGAAGTAAAAAACTGGTCAAATGAAGTTTCAAAGTTGGCCATTATATACTTCTCTAGACTAATTGGAGTCTCAGCTCCTATTCTCGGAGTCGAAGAGTGGCGCTTTAACACACGACTAATACTATTCCGACGAGGTGGCTGAAGACAGAGTTTTTTATCCATCTTGTGTTTGGACTATAAAGTTTCAAATTGATCGAACAATTTGGTTTTTATAGAATAGCAAAAATAGCTTCTTTTATTGTTAAACCCAGTTATAATAATCGTGTTTTTGTTAGTGCTTTATTTAATTAAAAAAAAGAAAATACTTTTAAATTGTTTTTTAACTTTTAAGAGCGTTTCAATGAGTTGAAACATCAATTATCAACTTTTAACTTGAAAAAAACCATTAGTTATTAATAACAAATAGCAATCGAAAAGTTATTAAATTTATTTTTGATGTGGTAACGATATTGAAAATAGTTGAGTAATGATGATGTGAACAATTTGTTGTTAATTTAGAAATAATTTATAAAATCACATGTTTTTCTTTAAAACCAAATTCAAAACAGATAAGTTATTAACATGATTGTACCTTCATTACTATTTATTTTAATTTTATTTGTTATTTATTATAGTTTAAATAATATCATATTACTTTCTATTAATAAATTGTTATAATAAATAATTGAGTTGATCAATAAATTTAAAAAAAATAGTTTTTTACCACCAAAATTATTTTAACAATAGTATTTAACTTAGTTGAGTCAAACTATAAATAATTTTTTGAAAAACAATAATAAAAACAATAATAAAATAAACTAAATAAAATTATAATAAGAACCAAAAAAAGATTGTAAATATGAATACCAGAAATCAAATAGAAATTATATTATTATTTTATAAAACAATTAATTAATTAATTAATTAAATATTAATAGTTAGTACTTACTTATAAGTAAAATCATTCACTTAGATACCCCACAACAACACTCTTGAAATCGCAAAATCCCATTCCCAAATCTCTTTGTTCTATAGATAAAACAATTACCAAAATACTATTCAATTTACTATAATATTATTATAAAAAACCATACCAATAGAACATACAAAACAGTCAAGAATACATTAAATCAAGCACAATAATATACACACAACTAATACCCACATCTGCTGTGCTTTGTTTCTTGAGTTTTTTGTTTGGGGGTACATACACTTTCCGTGGTTATTACAAACCATTCCCAAGTCACACGACCCACATTTAGGATAACACCCATCTTCAAATGGCAACACAAATCCGTCGCCCAAGTCATAGACGTTCTTGTCAATAGTGCACTCTGTGTCGTAACATGACGTCACCTTCTTATCACAGTACGTCGTGTTAGTATCTCTTGTTTTGAATTTGATATCCGATATGAATGCGCTCTTCCCAACTGCCAATTTCGCTTTGAAATTGATGACATTAGCAAAGCCTTGACACGTCTTGTCCGAGAAATAGATTTTGACGGAGACGTTAAACAGACCGTCTGTCACACTATGGAAGACGTACTTGTTCTGCATCGTCTGACACACTTTCTCCACCTTCGACGCATTGGTGTTCCCATATTCCATCAGTCCCATGTAATTGTCCAGCCACGCCGTCCCATAAGGTGCGTAGAAATTGAAGAGGATGTACTCAAACTGTTGACTCAGTTGTAATACTGTTGGAGATACCAAGAAGAATTCAGCGTAGCCATTAATGGAGGGTATACTAATGTTTTTGCCTATTTCAGTGAGATGGGGGACTAAGACTCCATCATTCACATCATGAATTTTCCAGTCAAATTCGTTCTTCGAGTGTTTGTCGGTGACACTGAAAATCTGTGGACTCGAGTAGAACCGGCAAGTTGGGTACACGTCTATTGGGAAGAGAGAAGATGCCGTGTAGAGTCCGGTAGAGTCCAATTTGATGTTATAAAACGATGAGATGTTTCTGTCGAGAGTAACAAAAGAGATATTGTTTCTTGGATTAAAAGGGGCGGTAAGTACTATTGAAGCGTTATTAATATAATACTTCTTCGAATTGACTCTAAACTCAGTAACTAGTTTATTCGAGTTAATAATGAAGAGTTCCGTCTTATTCTCTTTAGAGAGAACAACGAGTTTTGGCGGAGTCTGAAAGCCACAATCTGTTTGTCTGTATGTTGCGGCGTTAAACACTTTTTCGGTGCCTTTAGAAGAGGTCGTTGCTATTTTCATTAATGAAGAAGGAACAGCAACGACATCAGAATTGTCTCTTCCATCATTGATCACAAAGTATCCACCAACTTGACAATGAAAAGGCTTAGTAGACGGTCCAACTATTTCTAGACACATCCCACACATCGAGACATTCTGGTTGTTCCAATGAATGTTAAAGATACGGGTATCTACATAACACATTGAGTCCATATAATATCCCCAGAGCTCATTCTTGTAGTCTGGAATGTCTTTGTAACACTCATATAGAGACGAACCTGTTTTGTTGATATAGAACCCCAAGTCGGCTATAACTGCTTCTCCCTTGTGATTAGTACTTGATTACTGTACACTCCAAACAGAGCGGATTTTACTATTAAATAAGGGACAAACAAAACATGGCGTCTGTGCACTTGTTCTCACTGCAAAAATGTAAAGTAATAAAACAGCAACCATTCTTTGAATAATAAAGTTGGCGTCGAATGCTTAACAAGTCATTTTCCCCGTTTTATAATGGACATTTGACTTTTATATAATTAAAACGTTGGAGGATCCTATTTTCCATTTCTCTTCATTCTGATAAATATAATTTATTTGTAAATTAAAAACTAGAAGTATCGTAATTATTGTCGGAGTTGGTAAAAATAGAACACTTTGAAGGTAATTTATACTCCATTTTTGTGTGGACAAACTCATTTTGTGTAAAAAGTATTATTCTTTATTGATAATTTAATTATATTTTATTACTAATGTTTTGGCTTTAATTTGAAAAAGAAATTGATGGTGTTTATTAAAATGTACTATTATTAGATAATTATAAAACAATTTATTATAGTACTTTATTGGTGTTTTGATACCAAAAAGAAATAAAATGAATTTGGTTCAAATTTAGGCAAAAAATGAGGGATTTTCTATTAAAACATCCAAATTATTTCAGCTGAATTTTCGGGAAAGGCCGGTAAAATTAAAAAATATTTCACCTCATTTTTAAACAAACCGCCCAATCTTTTTCTGTTGTTTTGAGACTCAATTGTTGCTTTATGGAACAAAACTGGTTTGTTACATAAAAAGCGTTAAAAAAAAGTTGAAGTTTTTTGATTTGTTCAAAAAGTCGACCTTCATAAATTGTTTGTTTTAATCTTATATAAATAATATATCAAATTGGACAATTTTATTTTTAGTTTTATTGTCAATTGATTTAATTTAATTGATACGACTTTTATTAATAATAAAACAAACGAATGTTTACTCCTTTTATTTAAAATAATTTCAATAGAAATATAAATAAAATAATTAAAAACAAGAAAAAATATAACGACATTATTTATATTATAATAATATAACAGTTTATTTATATTTATTAAACTGGTTTGAATTCCATTCGTTTTAGTTTTTATTCGCTTTCATTAATTCGAATTTTTTAGAAAACAAAAAATAAAGTCTTACAGATGTGGTACTATAGTTTCGACCAGGACCATGGTTTCGACTAATAATTAATAATATTTATACCATTATTAAAATTAAAATTAAAAAGTTATATTTGGACTATTTTTTAAAAATAAATATAGAAACTCGTTCATTACTATTTAAATAGTATTTAAATAATAAGTCGAAACCTTGGTACTCGTCGAAACTTTAGTCCCACATCTGTATTCCTTTTTTATACATAATTTCATTAAAACTCTTTTAAATAAAAAATTTTTTTTTAAATGTTTTTAAACAAATAACTATTAGTTTCATTGTTGTTGTATTAAAAATATAGTTTCATTCATAATAAATACTAATACACCAATACATTTTAAATTTTTTATTTTATTGACAGAAAAAAAAATTTAACTAAAAAGTAGTGTAATTTAGATGCAGCACTATTTTTATTATTTTTTGTAAAATAATACATTATATTATTAGTTCTACTAATAATATAATGTATTATTAAAAGTAATATATTTTATTTATATAATATAATACTGTTTTTCTAAATTTTAACACAATGTTTAATCGAATTATCATTTTTTTATTTTGTTGTGATTTTTACAATTCGAAAAAAACAACTAAATATTAAACTAAATCAAACTTCTTTATTGTGTTTAAATAATAATATTACTAATAAAAATAACTAATTGAGTTGCATCACACTCACTCTTTTTATAATATCTCCTTTGATATGGAAATATTTTTCAAACTCTTCCCAGTCGACAGAACAATTTTTCTTTGTAATTGCAATGACGTTGCACAAATTACAAAGCACTTTGTTTACAGCATTTTGACACAAAAAAGCGCACTTTGCAAATTTTTCGTTTTGCACAAAACAGCAATTTTCGTGATTTTTCATTTTGTTCGTCTCGTCACTAATTGGTGGGATTGTAGTTTTGTTAAAACAAAAGAGAACGACATTGTTATCGGAAACCCATTGACATACCCCATTTATTCTACTGTACAAAATACTCCCAAAACGAATCCCAGTGGAATCTTCAACAAATATTAAAACGCACTTTTTACCAATGACTTTTTGACTAAAAATACTATGAGACTGACTCCAATTTTCTTTCGCACTATCAAAAATCACTTCACCAATTTTTTTCTTTGAAAAAGTTTCCAGTTGAATTTTGTCATCAAAAGTCAGTGGAAATTGTGGCTCGTGCTTCAAAGCCAAAAGCTTTTCCATTTGTTGCAAATGAACACTTTTAACTTGCGCAATGTCGTTTTTTAAACATTCGGTTCGTGCAGTGAATCGTTCTGTCTCCAAAGTAATTAAGAGATCGATTGTGTCATTATAAACAGCTATTTGGTTGTCAAAACTACGAATTTTGTTATCAATTTCTTTTTGAAGTTCTAATGCATTTTTCTGAATAGTTTTGAGAGTATTTTTGATTATTTGGCTCCTTGTAATGTCTTCAAAAAGTTGATCAAAAAACGCTTCTGCTTTTTTTATTCGTAATTCATAAGAAAGTGAGTTGTTGTCATGAAATAAATTTGTGTGAAGATTTTTGTTATACGCTTGAAGCTCTGAAAGTAAAAAAGTTGTTTGTCTAGAGAGCCTTTGTAAAATAATTTCCATTTTTTGTTTAAATATCACAGTTCTCTTCGTTTTTTTCTCTTGTAAATATATCGGTAGTTTAAAACATTTTTGATACAACAAGAAATAAGTGTTAATCGTATATATTTTAATTTTGTTTACCGATATCTTGTAGTTATACTAATTTAGTTTTTTATATTATTAAGTTTTAAATGAAAAATAATTTCAAAAAATTTAATAAATACTATTAATAAATAGTTAATTATTAATGTATATAAATATAATATTAATAACTAGGCTTCGCACCCGAGAATTTTCTTATCAAAAATTAGTATCGAAAAACGCTAATAAAACGGGTCAATTTTTCCTTCCCGTTTTATTAGTTTTTTTAGATACTAATTTTTAATAAGAAAATTCTCGGGTGCAAAGCCTATTAATAACTAAAATAGTATGGTAATAAATTACATTTTTATTGTACAGTAAAATAGTATATTATTATAAGTAAATATTATTAATAATTATAATACAAAAAATAATAATTATATTAAATGTATTTTTACTTTTTGAAGTTTTTTTCCTCTTCAAGGATTACTTATGATATATATAATTCAAATCACTACAAGAATTAAGCATTTTAACGTATTACTAACCATTTGAACACAATGAACAGATATTAATGCTTTAAATTAACCTTATGATTTCAATTGCATTTGGTCATTACAATTAAGTAATATAAAACGATAATTTCTTCTGTGATAAAAAGACTTTTTTTATTGATTGAACTCTGTTTACGAATACATACAACAAACTTTATTTAATATTGCGGGCAATTATACAACAAAAAATATATGCCTCTAATTTTTCACAACACGGCAAATTTTAAATTTTGAAAACTTGAAATGAAGAGTGTCGACTTTATAAAACACAATTGTAAAACATTTTAAATAAACACAGTGGTATTTCTAATGTAATAGAGTTAACTGTTTGGTCGACTTTGGTTCACCAGTTAAGTGTGAAAATGGCGACACTAAGACTTAGTAGTACTCAATTTTTGTTTTGAGGTGATGAGAAACAAAAAAATACGGCGAACTGAAAAAAGCAAAGAAAAATGGGCGATGACTACAAAGTAGAGTTAGTCAAAGTCATTTTACTTGGTGATGGTGGCGTGGGGAAGTCTGTGTTAACAATCCAATTTACATCGAATATGTTTGTAGAAGAATATGATCCGACAGTAGGTTTGTGCATTGTTATTTATACGTATAAGTCTCTATTACACATTAATTTTAACATCATTAATTCTGTATTTGTCTATGTAAAAAATCTATTGGATATAATGTGTTAGTGACGTAATAATTAATAAGAAAATAATAAGAAAAGTACACATTTAGAAGATACTCAATGCTTTGGTATGTTGACTGTGAAATTTATACAAACGAATGGAGTTGAATTGAAGATATTAAAGTACTTATATTACATTTATAAGATATTATAAGATAAAACAAATATTGAGATATAGAAAATTGTTATCGTAAAACAGTGAACGTCGATGGGAAGGTGTGTGTACTCGATATTTTAGACACAGGTTTGTATGCCACTCAAGTGACTGTATTTCTATTTTTTATATACTTGATAGGCATTGAAAGTGCTGTAACATATTAACACAACGCGGACATCAATTGATCAACAGCGGGACGTGAAGAGTACCAAACCATGATCGACCCGTACATTCGGCAGTCACAATGTTTCATGATCATTTATTCAATCAACAACAAAGAGACCTTCGCGTGTGCGCAAAAGTATTACGCGCGAGTCTCGCGGATAAAAGAAAACGACGCGTTTGATCAATGCATTTTGATCGGGAACAAAACCGACTTGGCTGACGCTCGCCAAGTCCCTACAAGTGATGGACAAGCGTTCGCAAAGTCAAAAGGTATTTCATTCATCGAGACGTCTGCAAAGAAGAGGACAAACGTCGACGAAGCGTTCTACGAGGTCGTAAGAATATCGCGAAAGACCGCGCAGGTCCAAACTGAGGAAAAAAAGAAGAAGAAGGCCTGTTACATTCTGTGAGAACAAAGTCCGTCTGTCTGTTTTTCTTCACTAAATGTGTGTGAAAAAAGAACCATCAATTAAATGTTGTGCAATTTGTTATACTATAATGAATGACAAATGCTATTTATTATAGTTTATTTTAGTATGATATTAAAAGTAGTCAAATGATTTTGGTACAGAAATAAAAAAACCTAATAATGAATATTTAAATTTTTATTATAATAGTATAGTTATTATATTATTTAATTGTTAGTTAATTTGTATTATTATAGCTTAAAATACAGATTTGGGATAATACTACTAATAATATATTTGTTATATTATAACTATATAATAAAAAAGTGGATGTTAAAACATAATAAAAACAATGTAATTATCGTTTTACTTATTTGTCATTAAGTTAAATTAGAATATAAATATAGTATATTAATTAATAAAGTAATACAAATAATGATTAAACGATGTTTAAAAGCACAATTGGCTACAAAGATGAAACTAAAAGAATTGAACGTGTTAATACTGATACCAGTTATACGAGAATGCCGACTCATTTCAATAATTTTTATAATAAAACTTGCTTAAAACAGGTCTTAATACCACGATGGTAATAATATAGCAATTTGACTCATCAATATTCAAAGGAACTTTAAACTGAGAATTTGCGAGTACAAAAGAGCCAATAAAAAAACGGGAGAAAGACCATTCCAATAACACTTTTTCCAATCAAAAACGAAACACTGAAAGTCTGCCAAATACTCAAATAATTTTGAATACCAAGAAAAAAAAGCGCTTTTGAGAAGAAGACGGTGTGTAAAAACACGAAAAAGAAATAAAAGTGCTGTGCACAAAGGAACAGCAACAAAAGGCAAAAACGCCACTAAACACCAGAAAAAGAAAATTCGAAAGAAAAAAAGAAAAAAACAAACTGAAAAATCCACACATGGCACAGGAAGACTACGACTATCTCTACAAAAGTTTGTTGATTCACCACCTTCTCCATTGGATAGGAAAGTGTTCTAAAGTATCGAAATTGACAATCAGTTGTATTGATTGGTGAAAGTGGAGTCGGAAAGTCCAATCTTCTTCTTCGATTCACTCGAAATGAATTTGACCCAGAGAAGCGATCCACTATCGGCGTCGAATTTGCTACAAGAAGTATTCAACACGAACAAAAAGTCATCCGTGCACAAATATGGGATACCGGTTTGTTCTTCTCTTCGTCTGTAATAACTACAACTTTACTATTGTTAAACTATTTTTTATAGTAGATTAAACACTTTGAATAGAAGTGTTCAATTCACTTGAGTATTGTGACTTATATATTTAACTAATGGTATTATAACACTTTTCTAACTAATATCACCTCTTTAATAGAATGTTTATTATAATATAAGTATTACGTTTAATTTTACTATTCAGTCTAAAAGAATATAATTTCAAGTGAATTCTATTGAATTAATAATTAATAATTAATAATTTCAAAATGCAACATATTTTATTATTTAATAGAAAACTATATTATAATAATATAGTATTCTCTCTTTTTAATATAGATATTATAATTTAATCAATTAATATAATAAATGTATTACGAGTTGGAAATAATAATAACAAGTCAGCTGGACAAGAACGTTATCGTGCTATTACTAACGCATACTACAGAGGTGCTGTGGGTGCATTAATTGTGTATGACATCACCAAAGAAAGTTCATTCAAGTCGATTGAGCGTTGGTTGAGTGAATTGAAGGATAACGCGGACCCAAAGATTGTTGTGATGGTTGTTGGGAACAAAGCTGATTTGTCACAAACAAGAGAAGTCGACGAGTCCACTGCAAAAACGTTCTGCGAGAATCAGAAACTCTTCTTCTTCGAGACATCAGCACTTGATGGAACAAACGTCGAGACCGCTTTCAAGAACCTCTTAATCGAAATTTATAAACAAAACGTTTCGAACTTGGACGAGAACGCTCAAAAAGTACCACAAGAAAAGCCAGACATCGTCCCAATCGAGCCAGTCCTTCCTAATGGTGATAAAAGCAAATGCTGTTAATTCAGTTTTATTGGAGTCTTCGAATAACATTTTGAATAACATTACTTGGTCGAGACAAAGTCCAAAGAAAAGTCCTTTGTAACTACTTATTTATTCATTACTATATATATTAGTATATATATTATAATATATAGTATGATATCACAAATTATAAAAAAAAAAGAATAGTAATAATATACTATTAGTCTTAAATAAGTAGTAACTAAATACAGGAAAGTGAAAAAAAGAATAAGACCGGCAAAAGAAGACCAAAGGGAAGCAAAATCATTGCGATTTGTTCATGTGAAAATAAAAGTTAAAAAACAAAGTTCTTTTCTACTTTAACATATAGTAAACCTGAAGTTATTTGATGTTTTTCAAAATGGTATATTTATAATAAAAATATAGTTTAAGGAAGTTAATGATATGTTGAAACGATCGTTAGACACCGATGAACTATACACAAATTAAAATTAAACTATGATATATAGTACATTTTCAAACAAAGAAATGGTAGAAAACTAGTGAATTTATCGAGGCAATGGCGAAGGATAAGGTATTATAGAACTTGAGGCAAAATTATCAGATTTGGATACCCTGAAACTGGAGAAAAATATTTTCAAGGAGCTGAAATAGAAAGGAGAAAAATGGGAGAACTGAAATGAACTAACATAAAGAGTGGATGAGTAAGAACAACAAAATCAACAAAGTTATTAAAATTGGACTAGTGGGAGATGGAGCTGTGGGTTTGTGTTTCTCACTTCATAACTCTTATTGGAGTTGTTTTTAAGTGATTGGAGAAAGGACTTGAGGACTTCTATGGTGTGAATGGGGGGTTGCAAGGAATAGTTAATGAATAGTAAGTAATAGTAAAATGAATAATAAAATTGACTTCAAGGGAAGACGACGTTTTTACTGTCATACACTGCTCAGTCATTTTTAACTGAGTATACACCGACTATATTTGACAATTTCTGTCAAATTGAATCTGTCGGCAATGACGTGTTTAACGTGTCGTTGTGGGATACGGCAGGTCAAGATGAATACTCGACATACCGAGCCGGATGTTATAGTAACTGTTCATTCGATGTCTTCCTCTTGTGCTTCAGTGTGGTTCAAAGGTCGTCCTTCAAAAATATTAAAAACAAGTGGATTTTGGAACTCAAGAAAAATGCCCCTTCTGTCCCCGTCATAGTTGTCGGGACACAGACCGATCTCAGAAATGAGAAGGACAAGGAACACATCTCTAAAAAGGAAGTTTGTTTTCGACTTGTATTATTATTATAATAAATAGTATTATTATTGTCTAGAGATTTTTATAGCAATAGGAATGAACTTAGAAACTATATTTATATTATCCTCAAAGCTATTTTAAGTATAAGTTTATTGCACGATAGATTTATATATACTAATATTGAATTATTTTATTTATGAATGGAATATTATATATATAATATTATAGTTACTTTGCTGTTTCAAGTTAAAACTTCCGACTCACTTTCTTTATCACATTTCAATCTCTTATTTATGATTTTACAAATGAATATTGAAGTTATAAAGATTTAGATTTTTTACAGGTATACTATTATATAGCTTTAATTACTCAATAGTTCTTTTTATTATACAATTAACGAATAAATTATTTATTAATTCAATCAATATAAAATACCATAAGAATAACACACAGGGCGAAAAAATGGCGAAGGAATTAAAAGCAAAGAGGTATGTCGAATGCTCTTCGAAAAGTTATGAAACGACACACGACGTTGTTCTTGCTGCTATTGATGACTACCTTGACAAAGAAAAGGAGATGGTAGCAAAGATCAAGAAGCAGTACAAGAAGGAGATAGAAGAGGAAGAGAAGATGATGAAAATCATGAAAAAGGAACTTGAAAAGCAACGCGCACAAGAGGAGAAGGAGAAGAAAGAAGCCGATAAGAAAGAAGAAAAGAAAGACGCCGCTCCACCAAAAGAAGAGAAAAAGGAAACTAAAGAGCAACAACAGTAAATTAATTTCAGTTGGATTTGATTGTTCACTCCAAAGACTTTTTTGTCCGTCTTCTATACTTGGGTGGGTGTTTTGTAAAGATAATTAATAATTAACTTTATGACTAAATATCTTAGAGAAATAAAGTGGGACGTGACAAGGGGAATGAGTAAGATAATGAAATCGATTATTTTTCAACACAATATTGGAGTGACGGGAAGTTAAAAGTCACACGGAGGAACTTGAAGAGGCTCGTCGTGACTCAGAGAAGGTGGCTGAGTATTGGAAGAAACCTTTTCCTCGATATTGATAAGAACAGGCCTTTCAAAATTTCGGGAAGGAACTTCTGACACTGGAGATACTTTGCTGGCGGGTTTGGAGTTTTTGGATTTGCAGTAGTGAGTGCAACAACAAGTCAGAGTGATTGTGACTGTTATTAATAACAAGGAAGAGTAAATAAAGAGTCTGATTTGATACCAATTGTTCTCTTCTAAAGTACACATCTCTGTCGTCGTCGCGTTTGAGGCGTCCGATGGAGTGCGTTCAATGCAAACTTTGTACTCGGCATTCCAAGTGCAGTTGTCTGGAGTTAAAGTGCAAGAAACGCACGTGAAGTAATCGGTGCACTTAAAAAAGCGAGCAGAAGAGTAAGAAAGAAACACTAAGAGCAAAAACATCGAAATTCAAATTTCTAAGTTGGTTCATTTATAGTTTGTGTTATTATAATTTTATTAATAATTAAACTATTTATTGTCTTATTGTCTGAACCATATTTATTATTCGATTTGTAGGAATTAATCTAATAGAACTCACTGATGATTTGACAACTCAGCTGAACGAGGAGCTTTGCGAAAGAAAGTTAATAACACATCTAATGAATTCTAAAGAATTTAAATCGCTGGGAGCGCTTAAGTTTGGAGTACTCCGTTTTGTACGCTGCATGCTGTTTCTGCATTTCGTTGAGTTGGTCATTTATCGATGCGACCTCTTTGTCAAGCCCATTTTTCAGTTTGGAGACAACACGCCTCATTTTCATTAATGAATTAATCTGGATTTTCGATTGTTTGACGGCGTATTTCAAGTCGATCAATTCCATTTTTGTTTGTGTCTTCTCGTCGAATCTTCTTCTGTCCGTCAGCGTCGCGTCAGTGGCAAAGGAGGACCAGTCTCGTACACTTGCATCAAACGTTTTTGGAAATGGCGATACTGTAATGATGCCAACCTCTGCCGCCTTCAATAGTGTTTCTGAAGACTCACTGATACTGGAAGATATTTTCATCGTCGGCTTCTCAAAATCAAACCGTTTAAATGGTATCGGACTCCCCTTGTCTTTATCTTCTGACGTCGGTTCGCTAAAATATTCCATTGCCATCGATTTTGGATAATTTTCTTTCTTTTTTTTGCTCCGAAAAGCTTGCTCATTCCGACCAAATTACCAATTTTTGACAAACCATTTTATTTTGGTTTTTTTACTATAACGATATGATATTTATTAAAAATTAAAAAAAAATAATTATGTTATTAAATTATGATAAATATATTAATAAAGTATAATTTCAAGTAAAACAAATAAATAATAAAATAATAATAATAATATAGTACATTAACTATATTATACTTTATAAAAATTATCACTATAGAAAAAGATATTTATTTATTTAAACTAATAAATAAATGATATATTTATGGTTACCTGATTATAATTAAATTTATAAAATTTAATTAATAATTTACTAAACACGTTTTAAGTTATAATTTTACTTTAACAACAAAATAATTAAAAGTTATAAAATAATACAAGTAATATATATATAGTAATATGAACTATATAAAACAATGATGTAATAGTTTATAAATAACACAAAGAACATCAAAACTCAAAAATGATGTCATCATCTGATTCAGACTCCTCCGTACCAACAACACACCATCCCGAGAAGTACACAGGAGTTCTCCTCAAGAATATTCTCGACGATTTAAGTGACACGATAACGTTAGGAATGAATCCCAAAAGTGATATAAGCCCTTTGCCAGTGCTTAACCAAAATTTCATATATATAGCAGCAAAGGAGTTAAGGGAAGTATAGAAGAGTACTCTGTGGTGATTGAAAATGTCAAAGAAGAGGTAAAATTGCTTGAATACGATGATATGATGCAAACAACTCATTTTGGAATACCTCAATCAATTGGGTTGTGTGAGTGTAATAACACCGAGCAAATTGTACTCTTAATTGGGCTCTGGGTAGTTGCTTATATTGAAGAAAAGAACAAGACAAGAGCACTAGTCGACACATCGGAAGTTCTCAAAGTGATGCGAACATTGGTCGACGAAAGCCAGTTTGTTGATATCGATGAAGATAAGTACAATCAAATTAATTGGTTATATGACTTCATGAGAACACACCATTGAGTATGGTGTGTTCTCATGAATTAATTAATTGAGTTAATTGCTATCTAAGTTGATATAAAACTATTTTAATACTAAAAAAAAACTATTATACTTTCAAATAAGGTACTATTAAGTTTAGTTTAATCATAATAAAATTACTAATTTATTAATTAGAAGAATAATTATAATATACTATAATATACTATAATATACTATAATATACTATAATATACTATAATATACTATAATATACTATATAAAATAATTAAAAAAAAACTCTTATAATTAAAAATATTTATAAAGAATAATTCTATTAAAATAACTATACTGGTAATAATAATTTAATTAATAATTTTAATTAATACTTTTGTTATTACTTTGAGGTTTGTTATTTACAAGAACTTTTACTCTTCCGAAATATCCCGATGAACGGGAATACCATTCACTCTTCTCTTTGATATTTAAAGCGTCAAACGAAAATGTCCAAAAAAATGTTATACTGCAATACCTTGAGGATTTACATAGAACTGAATAATTCAAGATGAGTGAAAACGCCGCATATAAAGATTGGGAAGCCGTGAATGGAGTCAAGGTCTATCCCGAGGACGAGCTTCTTTCTTTTAATGAAGAGGAGCACAACAAGTTTCTTGGAGAGAAGCCGTGGAAGAAAGATCCGTATTACTTCAAGCGTTGTTTAATCAGTGCAGTAGCTTTGTTAAAGATAGTGATGCATGCGAAACAAGGTGAGCCATTAGAGATTATGGGTATCTTAAAAGGACAAACAAAGGGTGATGCGTTCATCATAACCGACGTCATTAGTCTTCCCGTTGAAGGGACTGAGACACGAGTGAATGCGTCGGAGTCTTGTGATAGTTACTTATTGGAGTACAGAGACTTCACAGAACAAATTGGGTTCAAAGAACCATTGTGTGGGTGGTATCACTCCCATCCAAGTTATAAGTGTTGGTTGTCTGCCATCGACGTGAAGACAGAACAACTCCATCAAACATTTCAAGACCCTTGGGTCGCTATAGTCATCGACCCCGTCACTACTTCGACCAACGACAAAATCGAAATCGGAAGTTTCAGAGCCTTCCCAACTGGTTTTAAGCCAACGCAAACTGCAGAAGCCAAAAAAGTTCTTCCGCGGGATAAATTGAAAGACTTTGGATCATGTTATGACCAGTATTACACTATGAAGACCGAAATCTTTAAAACAAAATTGGACGACAACGTCTTAAGACTGTTGTGGCATGAGTACTGGATCAACTCCTTGTCGGCTACTGCTATCATCTCATCCCGAGATATGGTCGACGAGAAGGTCATCGACTTGTTCGAGAAGTTCCAAGAAGAGAGACAAGGAAAATCCGTCGGGGATGCCTGTGGCGCTATATTAGATGATGCAAAAGAAATTCAGTTGATTAATGAACGTGGCGTCAAGTCCTTGGAACTGAAGAACATCCTTTTCAACCAGAAAATGAAATAATCGACTTCGCTGGGTTCGTTGTGTATAATTAAATAATAGTAAAGAATAGTAGAAAGTACTTATTAGTATTTTTATTAATACTTAATTAATAATTTCTAGTATATACTCTCTAGTATATATTATTAATACATTATACTATAAAATATTGTATTAGAAAATAGTATATAAGAACTATTGCAATACTAAAACTGAATTACACTACGGCTTGATATAAAGTCCCTGTATTTGTACCGACAAGTAAGGTGTGATCATCTAAATTGATTGTGGTTGGTACATTTGGGACTTTAAATATGTACCTTCGATCACGTAACTGCGACTTATTCCATTGTAAAACGATTTGCCCATTTGCACCACCACACACGATCTTTCGATTGTACGTCCCCATACACGTGGGGATGACCGCGACGTCAGACTTAGTCACCATTTTGCCCATCCGTATGTCCCATAATATCGTCGCCTTCTCTTCCCCGCACGATATCAAACTCCAATCTCCGATAACATTCACGCCTTTGACTGATGTGGAATGTCCCCGTAACTCCATCGTTATCGTCTTACTGCGCGAATCAAACAATTTGACTAATTTGTCTGTTCCGGAAGACACAAACAAGTGCCCCATCTGTCGCACTTGTGTGACATACCCCAAATGCGGCATAAACTTGTTGATAACGTCTCCGGTGCTCATTTGCACGACTAAAATGTGATCTTTCCACCCAAAGACAACCTTCCCGTCATCACTGAAATCGGCTTTGTCATAAGCGCCCTTCATATCGATCTTCGGGCCATAGAACCGACCAGCTTTCCCACTCTTTTGAACTACACAGATCTCGGAGTTGATCTCTTTCATCCCAATATACCCACTGCGATCAGTGAAGTCACTCTTCGACTCACTTCGCGAATCACTGGACGCATTACTCGAACTGAAGAGATGATAGTTCTTCGGATCAAATGCGTCGCGTGACGTCGCAAGGAGCTCCCCGTCGTCCGTCCCAAAGTAGATGCTATTTCCGATCTCAATACAAGTGATGGGAGCACTTGCGATCTGAAAGGTCTTTGGTTTGAAGTCCGTCGACTTCCACAGACTCTGCGTCTTCGAGACGGCCATAAGATTCTCCTTAGTCGGCTCCATCGTGGCCTTCCCATTGAAGTAACACGTCGAGTTAAATATCCCCTTCCACGTCTCTGTAGCCATTGACCCGTTCACTAATGAATAGAACTGTTTGCAGAGTTCTTGGACGTTTTTGATCTCATCGACGCCGACGTTTGCAAAGATCTTGAGAAGAATTTGCTCGGGCATTGACTGAAGTGTTGTGACTTGTTTCTTCTTTGACTTAGAAAGAGTGATTGCGTTCAAGAGAAGTGACGACATCGACTCGATTGTGGTCATCTCGGGGAAGTTCTGGTCGGTGAGTGGGACATTTTGGATTGAAAGTGGGATTGGCGTTGCTATCGTAGCGAAGAAGAAGAGGATTGGAGCGACCAAATTGGATAAGAACTTCTCTCTAAGAGGCGGCGGGTAAGATGAGACGACGGGAAGACTTAATAAGACTGAGAAGCGGACTCGAGTGTCATCTTCGCCGCATTGTCTGAAGTTAATAACACTCTCTTGGAAAAGAATAGTCTTTGTGTGGGATTTTGAACAACAGTCCGATTCAATTGACTTGAAGACTATAGAAGTCCACTCTTGAGTGAGTCTGTAAGCTAAGACGACATCAGTGGAGACTGTTGGTTGTATCAAAGTGTTGAACAAGAAGTGTCTTATAGTGAATATTCTGGACTCTTTAACCATCTCATTCTCTGTAGTGATTGAAGTCAAAGCGTTGCGAGAAGTCATGATCTCGAAGAAGGTCTGTGGCCGCAAAGGAATGCGTAAGTCAGCTTGGATGAACATTTCATCGCCGTCTTCGTTTGCAGTGATTCGAACGCGCTGCGATTCGTGGATATAGCGACTTAATGGGGGTGTGGTGTAATGCGGGTAACACACTTGTTCAATGGCATTTCTGATCTTGACGTCTTCATCGCGAGATAAGATGTCTTCCAAACACTTAAAGATCAAGTAACAAGACGACATTAATTGACTTCGAACAGCATGTAAAGAGTAAATGATGTGGATTTCACTCGTTTTAATATCAATATAGATAAATATCGTTGGAGTACCTATTAATACGACATACACCCCTTCAGAAGTCTTCTGAACATCATATTGAAACTGAAATGGTAGAAACGTTTGTGCAGTTGGGCTTAAAAACATCCCAGTATACTCCCCGTCTTTTTTAACAACTGAATGGAGAAAGGGGTACCACGTCGAAACAGCCTCAGGGCTTTGAAACAATTCATAATAGTCCGCTTGTGTGGGTTCGACTTTAAAAATACACTCTAACGACGCCTTCCCATAGTTTTTAGTCCGGATTTTATAGTACGGGTCTTTGGCCGGAATTTCTTCCCAGCCGCTTTCATTGAGCTCTTGTTTAATCAGCTCGACACTGTTTTGTGACATTAGTAACTTTTTTAATTCGTTTTCTTTTTTATTTCTTTCATTCTTTATCAATATAATATTATAATTATTACTATTTATTTAGTTTACTTCAATTATCCAAAAAAATACTTATATGGTATTATTATTATATAGTTCTATTTTAATATCTTGTTTAGTTCATTTGGTAATTAATATATAGTACTTTCATTTAATTATAGTAAATAATATATAAAATAATTAATCATTATAAATTATAATAGTATAGTAAATAGTATAGTAAATTATAATTTTTGGTATTATAACAAACACAAGTACACTTGACCCCGTTATGACGTGACGGGATGCCCCTTTCATTTGAAAAGAAAATCAGACTAAGTCAAGCCTCAAAAGATGAACAAAATAATCAAAGAAGTTGAACATGTCTAAAGCACCAACTCCACAAGGCATAGACATCATGGACCGTCTCAACAAACAGACGTATGAATGTGTTATTTGTATGTCTCCGATATTCAAGTTTCAACGGATCTGGCCATGTCCTCGATGCTATACTGTTGTGCACTTCCAGTGTGTTTCGAATTGGGCGACAGACAAGCCGAGTTGGTCGTGTCCCGTCTGTCGGCTTCAATTTTCATCGCCACCAAAGCCTTCATGTTATTGTGGGAAACACACTGATGGGTCGCGATTTGAGTCTGCTCACTGCTGTGGCGACATCTGTGGTAAACTGCGTGTTGGGACTTCGTGCAAGCACCCATGCACTGCAAAGTGCCATCCTGGTCCCTGTGGTTTGTTCTATATTTAACTATAATTTTACTAATAAAGTATGGTTTTGAACAAAACTATATTTTATTAATTAATGTTCTATAACAAAACCATACATTATTAATAAATGTGTTATAGAACAAAACTTATAAGAAGGTCCTTGCACCGCCGGAGGGAAGACTGTGACGTGCTTCTGTGGACGGAACCAAATACAGTTGGGGTGTTGTGATGAGGAGTCCTCACGTTCCTGTGGTAACATGTGTTTAAAGCCTCTTCCATGTGGACACGTATGCACTGCTTTGTGTCACTCTGGGAAGTGTCCGACGTGTCCTGCGAAGGTCCACAAGACGTGTTACTGTGGACGGAGTGAAAAGGATTTGTGTTGTGGTGAGGTGATTTGCGATTCAGTCACAAAGGGGTATTTCTCGTGTGATAAAGTGTGTGGGCGTGTCTTGTCGTGTGGGAATCATTACTGTCAAAGACCGTGTCATTCAGGACCATGTGGTGACTGTCCAACCCCAATATCCATCACAAAGTGTGCGTGTGGAGCTGTTCATGTTGAAAGAAGAACATGTCTTGACGCGCTTCCTGTATGTCACAAAGTGTGTGGTCGAGGATTACCATGTGGTCATAATTGTATATTAGAATGCCATTATGGAGAGTGTGTATGTAGTCACACGGAGATTAAAAAGTGTCCGTGTGGTGCGAAGGAGTTTGTAGTGAAATGTGGAGAGGAAGTTCCCAATTGTGATGAAGTGTGTGGGACTCTACTGTCGTGTGGAGTTCATAAATGTCAAAGAAAGTGTTGTCCTGGGAGAGGAAATAGTACTTCCGACATTCACACGTGCTTTGAATTCTGTGGGAAGACACTTCCATGTGGGCATATCTGTCGCGAGTTGTGTCATGGGAAGAAGAAGTGTCCGCAATGTCGGCAAGTCCTTTTAACACCACTGACGTGTGCTTGTGGTAAAACTCAAATCAGTCCGCCGGTGTTATGTGGCACGCAGCCCCCACAGTGCAATTATTTATGTGAAAAAGTCCGACCCTGTGGACACAAGTCTGAGAACCACAAGTGCCACTTTGGGGAGTGTCCGAAATGCACTGAACTTGTTGAGAAAAAGTGTTTTTGTGGGAAGGGACGAGTGCGTGTGTGTTGTTACATAGAATCTGCTTCATGTGGCGAGAAGTGTTTGAAGCCGATGAGTTGTGGAGTCCATTTCTGCCAACGAGTGTGTCACTCTGGGTGTTGTGTTGAGCCAATAAGTGTAGTAGAGAATAGTACAGAATGTGTGACATACCCGTGTCCTTATCGATGTGGGCGGAAAAAGATGTATTGCAATCACTTATGTACATTACCATGTCATGGCACATCTTTATGCCCTGAAACAGTATGTGAAGAATATGTCGAGTATACGTGTAAGTGTGGGAAGCGCAAGAGCGTCGAGAAATGTGGTGGGTGTAAGGCTCATCCATATGTAGAGAAAGTGTTAGAGTGTGGGGAAGAGTGTCAAGTAGTAGTGTACAATATCCCAGAGAGAAAGGTGAAGTATCCGTTATGGATGTTAGTCTTACTCGAGTCTGTTGGGAAACTTGGAAAGACATTTGAGAGTGCTTTACGGGAGTATTTGACACAAGCAGTAGAGCCTTCTCTTATTATTTCTGGGAAGAGTGTACTCTTTTCGTTCTTTGTATATCACTTAGCTCAATATTACAATGTCACAGTGACTGAAATGAAAGACAAAAAGACTACTGTGTTTACTGTTACAAGAACTCCAGAGAGTACAATGGCTACTCCTAGCTTAACAGAGTCACTTTTAGAACGAAGGTCTGAAGTCACAATCACTAAAACGCCGTTCATCGCCAATGTTGTGATACAAGAAAGTGACGGGGAAGGGGAGTATGTAATACACTTAACTCGAGTCTCCGACGACGGATATGATGGTATCATAGATTTACTTAAAAGAATGCGATACATCTCGAAAAACATCCACGTCGACTGGCAGAACTTTTTGGTCTTTTTTAACGACAAAAACGCGATAGAGTACGCCGTCAAGGAATTTAAGCGACTTGGCGGCGCGCTCATTCGCGACGACAACATCGTGAAAATAGCGAAAGAAATCAATCTGTACGATTTAGATAAGAAGTTCACAAAGGATGGAGTCAAGTTTGTCTATTTCTTGCTTTCAAAGAAGTTCCAACAAAGCGCGACGTACACGATTCTGAAGTACGCAAATGGGTATATCAGAAACGTGTTGAGCAATTACAGAACAGTCTTCAAGAGGGTTTTAGACGGCGAAATACTCAAACTCGACTTAAAAGAGGAGAAAGGGTTCTTCATTAAACAAATTGATGTCGAAGTGACAGTCTCAAAGACTTTGATAAACAAAAATGTGGGCAAGCACAAAGACATTCTGATGTTTGCTGTTGCTATTCAAATCGGTGAAAGTGCAGAGAGTGCCTTTGAAGTCACACTTTCAAGAAATGTGAGAGATGATGGTGACATGTTTGAATTTAAAGGGAAAGTCTCTGGTCAACAACTTGAAAAGATACGGAACAAGTCTGTCATTGTCATCTTACATACTACACGTCGAGATGTCATTGGGCCAAAAGCAAGTGCGCAATTATACTTTGAAGCTAAGATGTATCCCATAGACCCTAAAATAAAGAAGATTTGAAAATTGACTTGAATTACTTCTGTTTGATAACAAACCATTTAAAATAGTTTAATATTAATAATTAATTAGTAATTATTAATATTACTAATAACAAACAAGTTAAAATAGTTTAATAATAATAGTTTAATACTAATAATTAAAAAACAATAGTTTGATTATAGTAATTAATTAGTAATAATTTAATAATAATATTGTAATTGTAATACTATAATAATAATAATTAAATAATAATTTAATGGTAATAAATAGACTTAATAATTATTAAAACTATAAGTTTAATTAAAGTCGTTTTATTAAAAAAAGTACTAGATGAACCATTACAAGACGAATAAATTGAAGAAAGAATCAATGAGGACAAATTAGCAAGTCTGGACCCAAGGCGAACCCTTAATGTCTCTGTTATTCAACAAGCAGTGAATAGTATAGTCGCCAGTCTCACCGGTTTTGTAAGTGACGCGATACTTGGCCTCCTCCAAATTTTCGATTTTGATATTTTCCTGAGGGATTTCAGTTCCGCTTTCGTGGACGATTTTGACTGAGAAAGTAGCATTACCTGGTTTGACAGCTTGTCCCTTTTTAGTACGAGCGTTGATAGTGAATTGGAAGAAATCGACACCAGTTGAGTTGTTATCGACACCTTCGCCAACGGAGACTTCATAAGGAGCTTTCCCGACTTTGTCGTGAGTGTCATTCTTCAAATCGATATCGACTGAATAGACACCCGGGCAGTCTGGGGCATATTTACATGAATAAGTCCCATCGCCGTTATCCTTCACTTCACATTCCATGTCTTCCCCACTTGGGTCATGGACTTTCACTTCAAACTCGGCACCTCCTTCTTTGATTTCATTGCCTTCAATGTCTTTGGCTTGAATAGTAAATTCGGCATCGTTGCAGTCATCTAACTCATCACCACCATCTACACCGGGTCCACTAACTAAACAGTTGGCTCCACTAATACCAGCTAAGATCTCTGGAGTATATGGAGACCCTTTAATGGGCTCGATTTTATTAGTCTCCGCACTTTGAATGCAGACAGAGACATTGTACTTCCCAGGCTTCGTTGGCATATAATCAACATTAAATAACCCATTCTCACCTCTCTCTACCTTAGGCTCAATCTCTTTGCCTTCAGGATCAGTGATTTTCACTTCAAATGGTACTTTCTCTAATGTGTATGGAGCGCCATTCGACTTCAAAGCGTGTACGACAAACTTCGCAGTGTCACATGTCTTGCACCCACCTTCTACACCGGGACCTTCAGCATATGTCTTTGCTGGGTCCGCTGCTGTTTTGGCTTTTTCAGCCTCGTAGTGTCTGAAGTAAGAGACATAAGCCATGACAGACAAGTCATCTGGTTCAGGAAGTGCCATATCCGCTGCATCAATGATGGCGGGGATGTTCATCTTGTCTTCAGCAATTTGTTGGCCATATTTAATACGTTCAGCTCCAGTCTCTTTGTTCTCAGACTCACCCATATCGATGAATTCTGGTTCTAAAGCTTTGATGAGTTCATTCAATGTATCACCTGTGTTCCAGTCACTCTTGAAATTGGTGATCTTCTTTGGCGCAATTTTAGAATTGACCCAGTCCAAAAGTGCTTGTGTTGACGCATCCATCTTATTTGCAGCAATTTGATACTTCAAAATTAACACCCAAAGAAGTCCAAGAATCAACTTCAAGTCACCTTCAAAGATGTTTTGTGCATCAATGTTGACCAACTTAATACCATCAGCTACAATGAACTTGAGTGCTTGTTCCAAGTTCTCTAATTTTGCGATTTTCATCTTTGGTTGTTTGTTGAACTTGAAACTGACTTTCTTCTTGGTGAGTGCTTCAAACAAAGAAATGAGGATGATACCGTCGCTCAAATCCTTTTCAACATCGTTGATCACATAAGTGCCAGCCAACTGGACATTGGCCCACTTTGTGAATGTCTTCTTTTGGGTCATAACCCATTGCGGTTGCTTCTCAGCCATTTTTTGTGTGTTTTTTAGAGTTGAAACTTTTATAGATGCTCTATCCAACTTTTTTTTAAAAAAACGGCTAATACGGTGACACGTTGATTATAAAGTTCATTTATTTAGATTAGAGTTTGTTAACACGGAGGTTAAGATTGGTATTAAAAATGTCCTTTTGGGTCACTTACATTGTCTTTTACACGGTTAATATTCAAAAATGGATAAATAGAGACAAATTGTTTAATCTGGTTATTTTATAAAATATATATTTGTGAGTGAAAATGAAGAGTAGACCATTCCCGTTATTTTATATCTTTTCGGACATAACAAATGAGTTGTATTTTTTCGTTTTACATAGAGCACAAAAATGGTGTTTTGCTTTTTTTCACTTTTTGTTTATGGTCAATCAAGTCGATTCTTTTACTTAGAGTCAGTCGATAAACGTTGTCTGTTCCCCAAACGTTGTCTTTTTGACAAAAAATAATTGATTTTTGTTTTAAAAAAACGGGAATTAGGTAAAGATGAAAAAAACAAGAAAAATATTGAAACAATGATTTTGGGGTTATTCAAAAAAATTCCCGAAATATTCCATTTATAATGGTCTAAAAATCGGCAGACAACGTTACAGACCAGACAACGTGTTGCAAATGACTCTATATTTCGTTTATGACTGGTATTTCCTGCATTTCGTTTCAATTTGCTTGCAACTATTTGCATTAAAAATAGTGTTGGTAATGATTTGAATTGATTCTTTGATTTTTGAATGGTATTGAATAATCAAATTTGCAATTTTACTCAGTAAATTGCGTTTTAAATAATCATTTTGCATTGACTTCGTTTAATTAAAACATTTCTGCATTTTATCATTTCTGATACAACGTGGCTAAACAAAATCTTCCAAATTTGGTATTTGTTGTTGTTCATTTACATAGATATTACTATTGACTAATAATAAAATAACAATACTATAGTGCTATTACATTTTCAACTCAAATGAAAAAAATTCACTTCAATAAAAATCCACCTCAAAAAGATAAAAGTGCTGAAATGGGCTTTTTTTGAACATTTGATACGCATTTACCACAAATCTCATATTTCCGCCTCCAATGAACGAATGAACATAAAAACTGGCTTAAAAATAACTCATTTCTTCTGTGTTAACTTCTATCTTTCCATGTGGTAAAGAAAAGTGATATAATGTCGGTAATACAACCTACAAAAGTGATTCAAAACATACAAGTTCATTTGAAATAAACCAAAAACAAAAGAGAAAAATAAAATTTGCTTTTGTTGCATTTGTCGACACGTGTAAAAGAAAAGAAGAGGTGAAACTGCTTTTCAACTAAAAAATGGGCCGTGAACTAATTAAAGACCAAAAATAATAAGACAGCATCTATAAAAGTTTCAACTCTAAAAAACACACAAAAAATGGCTGAGAAGCAACCGCAATGGGTTATGACCCAAAAGAAGACATTCACAAAGTGGGCCAATGTCCAGTTGGCTGGCACTTATGTGATCAACGATGTTGAAAAGGATTTGAGCGACGGTATCATCCTCATTTCTTTGTTTGAAGCACTCACCAAGAAGAAAGTCAGTTTCAAGTTCAACAAACAACCAAAGATGAAAATCGCAAAATTAGAGAACTTGGAACAAGCACTCAAGTTCATTGTAGCTGATGGTATTAAGTTGGTCAACATTGATGCACAAAACATCTTTGAAGGTGACTTGAAGTTGATTCTTGGACTTCTTTGGGTGTTAATTTTGAAGTATCAAATTGCTGCAAATAAGATGGATGCGTCAACACAAGCACTTTTGGACTGGGTCAATTCTAAAATTGCGCCAAAGAAGATCACCAATTTCAAGAGTGACTGGAACACAGGTGATACATTGAATGAACTCATCAAAGCTTTAGAACCAGAATTCATCGATATGGGTGAGTCTGAGAACAAAGAGACTGGAGCTGAACGTATTAAATATGGCCAACAAATTGCTGAAGACAAGATGAACATCCCCGCCATCATTGATGCAGCGGATATGGCACTTCCTGAACCAGATGACTTGTCTGTCATGGCTTATGTCTCTTACTTCAGACACTACGAGGCTGAAAAGGAGAAGATGTTGAATGATATGATGATGAAGAAGACTCCGGACACCGAGAAGTGTATTATTGAAGGAGAAGGCATTAAGACTGGTGAAGTGTTAGTACCGGACACATTCAAAGTGATTGCTGTTAACAAGATGGGCAACAACATTACTGAAGGTGGACACAACTTTATTGGTAAAGTCACTGATCCCAATGGCAATGAAGTTCCAGTCGAAGTGAAAGACAATGGGAATGGCACATATGATATGACATACATCCCACAGGTCCCGGGCAAACACAAAGTTGAAGTCTTTTATGAAGACAAGCAACTTAAGCAGTCACCATGTGAAGCACTTATTAACCCCGCCAAAGCCGATCCGACTTATACATATGCTGACGGTGCTGGTGTACAAGAGTGCAATGCAGGCACAGGCCCCGTTGAGTTTGTCATTCACTCTGTTAACAAAGCGAATGTCCCCGTCCCATCCTCAACAGAAGACTTCAAAGTGATTGTCAGAGATCCTAAAGGAGAAGAACTTCCAGTTGAAATTAAGAACAATGAAGATGGAACATACACGGGAAGCTATACCCCAGTCCCAGGCATTGATACCGTCTTCATTACTTTGGACGGAAAGGCTATCAAGGACGCTCCATACAAATGCAAAGTCTTCCAAGACCCAACCACCGCTTGCATTGGAGAGTCATACGCCTTTGGCCCGGGAGTCGATGGCAACATTTCCATTGACAAAAGCCCCGTCTTCAGAATCCAGGGAGTCACCCCGGAAGGCAAAAAGTGCGAGAAGGGAGGCGACACATTTGTTGTCGTTGTCAAGAACCCAGAAGGAAAGGAACAGAAGCCAAAAGTGATTGATAGAGGAAACGGGAAGTATGATGTCAAGTACAAAGCTAAAGTCCCAGGTGTCTATGACGTTACCGTCCAATTGAAAGACCCAGAGAACCCAGAAGAGTTCAAAGACATTAAAGGATCTGTCTATCATCCTGAAATCCTTGACGGAGTCTCTGCGAAGAAATGCACTGTCACTGGACAAGGAATTGAAAGACCAAATGATCAAGTTGATAACGTCTTTGTTATCACAGCTAAAGACTATAAAGGTGAAGACGTCAAGAATGGTGGACATCCATTCCAAGTCGTCATCGATCAAGTCAAAGAGTCTGATAAAAAGAAGAAGAAAGAGAAGAAGGAGTCCAGTTCAAGCTCCTCATCAGACTCTTCTGAAGAAGAGAAGGAAGGAGAAGTCGACGAGGACTTCGCTATCTTGCACGAAGAGGGCGAAGAAGTCCCAGCCGTTCAAGAAGAGCAACAAGAAGAAAACAAAGAGATTGAAGGCAAAAAAGTCGCTCAAAAAGAAAAAGGAGGGATCCCATGCACTGTAGTCGATAAGGAAGATGGCACTTATGAAGTCCATTATAAGGCTGAAGCCGGTCAAGTCAGAGTCAAAGTCACATTGAATAAAGAAAAGGTCGCCAAGTCACCATATTACTTGGACATCGAAGAAGACGCCGATCCAGATGAGACCGGTGTTGAAAACTTCTGCTTTGTTATTCAAGCCAAAAATAGAAGAGGACAAGTCCAGGCAGACGGAAAAGCAAAATTCGCTGTCGACTTGGAAGGACCAGAAGGTAAGGTCGAAGGTCAAACTATCGTCGTAAAACACCTCGGAGAAGGAAAGTACTTCATTTCTTATACTTTGCCCGCTGTGAAAGGAAAGTACTTCATTAACTGCAAGTTGAATAGAAGACACATTAAGGGGTCTCCTTTCAAACAAACAGTCAACTAATTGATTTTCTTTTTTCATCATTTTGTCATGTTTTTATAGTTTATAAATTTTAATTCATTTTTATGATTTATAAATCATTACTAAATTTATAAATTATTATTTAAAAAATTTAAATAGTTAAATTATTATTTTTAAACTTTAATTACTTAATAATAAATTTTGGGTTGTATTATAATAGTATTTAGTATAATTATATTTATTTATAAAGTTTAATTTATTTTAAAATAGTTCAATTATTGTTTTTATACTATATAAAATGTAACAACAATTGTTAATTGGTATTATAATTAAAAGTAGTTTTGTTACTACATTATTATATTATTAGATATAATATATTTATTATTTAATAGTATCATTATTATTAATTAATTAATAGTTTAAAAAACCACAAAAACCTTTAAAACTATTTTTTCATATAAATAATTAATAATTAATAATAAATAATAAATAATAAATAATAAATAATAAATAATAAATAATAAATAATAAATAATAAATAATAAATAATAAATAATAAATAATAAATAATCGTATTAGTATTGACTATAAATTATATTATTAATAATAATATATTTTATTATACTAAATGGTATCATTCTAACAAGCAATGTACAATAAAAAAATCAATCAAAAAACAATTCTTGTCACCACAGATGTGACTAGTCACTCGAAGTTGAAGATGAATCATTTGATCTCTCTTTTTTCGAAACATCTGTGTCAGTTGGCAGTGGTGACAGTGCCAACAGTTGTACGTCTTTTTTATTCTTCACGACGTCCAAGTCAATAACGATGTCTTTTACTTTGTCGCTTGAACTACTGTCTGACAACGCGTCTTTTTGTTTCACAAGTAATATGTCTTTTTCACTTGTATTTGTCATTGTTTCTTCATCATTCTTTTCTTGTTCGTTTTCCATCCTTTCGCGGTCATTTTTCGATTTCAGAGTTTCCGAAATCGACGCCTGTCCGAGTGCAAGTCGTTTCAGTTCTTCAGGGCACCCCGACTGCATAACTAAATTAGAGAAGATAGTTTCTTTATCTTCTATTAAATTGATTGGTTTGTCGTTCTCCATTAATTTTCCATTGTCGAAGACCATCACTTTAGTGGCGTCCATAATCGAGTGGAGTCGATGAGCAATAGTCAGCACAGTGCATTCCGTGAAGTTCGTTCTGACCATTTCTTGGATCATGATGTCCGTCTGGATATCAATTGACGCTGTAGCCTCGTCCATGATAAGGATTTTGGCATTCTTCAGTAGCGCCCGAGCCATACATATCATCTGTCGTTCACCAAGTGAGAAGTTCTCTCCATTTTCCGTGACTGGGTCATCTAATTTTCTATTGACATGAACTAATTGAAGTACACGGAGCATGTCCTCTTCAGTCTTCTTCAAAGTTGGGTCTAAATTGTCTCGAATAGTCCCACTGAACATTGTGGCTTCTTGTGGTAATATACACATCTTTGTTCGAAGAATTTTTAATGGTATCTTCATGATGTCTATGTTGTCCACTAAGATCCGCCCACCCGCAGGATTCTCAATTCTAAAAAGTCCAGCCATCATCGTCGACTTCCCAGACCCCGTACGTCCTACTATCCCTATCTTTTCTTTGTCTTGGATGTGCACAGATACCCCTTTCAAGACTAATGGAAGGTTCTCTCTATATTTGAATTGGTAGTCGTCCAATTCTATTGTCCCACTTGAAGGCCATGTACTCGGGACATCTTCATAATTGTTGGCAATCTCTGGGACCTCCTCTTTGGGGATCTTTTGGAGCTCAAGAACCCTCTCAGTCGATTGCATAGTGATTTCTAACTCTAAAATGTTCTGTGCGAAGGTCAAGACGAGTGCGGGGATACTCGTGACATTCATGAGAGCAGTCGCAGCAAAGCCCGTGTCGACGGTAAACCAACTTTTGAGGATGACTATCAGTAAGACTGTTAATGTGGAGATAGTGAACCCTAACCACTCGAGGCGTTGTGAATACCAGATCTTTGCCATCTGCAGTGTGTAATACGCCAGAGTGTTGTTTCGCATTTTCTTGATCAGTGCTTTCATGAAGACGTCTTGCCCATTTGAGGTTCTTACTGTGGAGAGACCAAGTAATGTCTGGTCGAAGTGAATGAATATGGGAGAACGTGTTAACCCTTCGAGTCTCTGCATCTCTATGGACGAACGAATGAAGAAGTTGTGGAAGATCATAAAGACTATGAAGACTACTACCAACACTATTATAAGGTAATACGACGCTATGGAGATGATCACACACACTGATATGATCGCACAACACTGTCCAATAAATTGGTCTATTTGGGACGGAATTCTCGAGTCGATCAAATGGAAGTCGCGCGAGAAGTAATTCACGATTCTCCCTATTGGCGTCACATCAAAAAATGAGAGCTTCGTCCCCAATATCCGCTTTATCAAATTCTGGTGTAAGTGTATTGAAGACGACGCACCATAAAAGAGCATCACTGTGATTGTGAAATACATGAGCACAAAGTCTGCAGCAAAGGAGTATAAATGTGCATAGAACCACTTTAAATCGCCTTGTTTGTTGTTTTCGTTGATGCCATTACTCCAATAGGAGAGGAATAAGTTGTATGTGATCATCGACCCAATTCGCATCGCAAATGGTATCATTGCTAATAAGAAGAATATGATCCCACCATACTTTAAATACTTGTAATAGACCCGCCAAGACACTCGCCCTTTCTCACGAAGCTCATCTTCCATTTCACTGGCTCCAACATCTTGGGGGACAGTCTCTTCCTTCTCACCTTCTTTCTTTTTGGTGTCCTTCTTATTAGTCACCGTCTTCACAAATTGGGAGGCTGAGATGTCACTCTTCTTTAAGTTTTCAAGACTCCCATTGAACGCTATTTTCTTGTTTTCTATGACTATAATGCGGTCTGCTTTGTCAATGAAATACGTCTGGTTTGTCACGATAATTCGCGTCTTGTTCTTCAAATAATTCTCCATCGCCTTTTCAAAGATAAAGGAACCAACTTGGAAGTCGACTGCACTCAGTGGATCATCAAAGATGACGATATCCTGCGCACTATACAGAGCTCTTGCTATTGATATCCGCTGGCGTTGTCCTCCTGATAGATTTGCACCTCTCTCGGCTACTTCATACATATCACCACCTTTTAATATCTGCAGATCACGTGTTAAACAAGAGTTGTAGACGACGGAGTTGTACTTCTCTTCATCATAGGGAGATAAGAAGGTGATGTTCTCTCGTATCGTTGTATTCATCAACCACGCCGTTTGTGAGGCATATGAAGTCTTCCCACGAATAGTAGAAGTACCGGCTGTCCTTTCTAATTCACCCAGTAGACTCAAAACAAAGGAAGACTTGCCAGAGCCAACACTCCCTAATACACAGACTAATTCACCTTTTTGAATGTTCAATTCGTCACATGAAAACGCCGTTTCTCCATTTGGGAAATTAAAATTGACATCTTTAAGTTCGATGGAGTTATTACTCGAGACGGTTTGTGGGGAGTTTTCTTCACTCTGTGAAGCGCTTTGTTGCTTCAAATCTTCAGAATTGACATTTGGTGTTATTTCTGGTGTTTTCAAGAAGTTAAGGATACGCGTTAATGAGACTTTAATAGTAGTAAGACACGCTATCAAAAAGCCAAAGCTTTGGAAGGGGAGTTTTATTGAGTTAAAAATAGCCATACAAGCAAAGACTGTTTCGACGTCTAATTCTACCTTATTAAGTACCATAGTCAAGAACATTAAAAATGACATGAAAGGCCCGATTTCAACCATCAGTGTGATTAAACACGCTTTAAACATCCCAAAGGCAACGAGTCGGATTAACTCCCTTTTACGGAGTTTATCAAGACGAGTCTTCATAGAATCTTCCCACCCATTGTACTTCACAAATTTGATGTTGTGGATGATCTCCCCGAAGAACCCAAGTCGCTTGTCTTTCCAGAAGGTGAACTTTCCGTAAAACTTGCCTATTCCTTGACCAAAGAGTGCATTTAAAATAAGACCAACTATTAACACCCCAAGTGGTATTAAACACCAGATCCTCACAAAGATGCCAAGTGCTATAAATACACATACAAACATTATTGGAGCTGCACCTCCCAAAATTACAGACGGGAGTGCTTCGACTAATATTTGTGCGTCGTTGCTCATCAAATTCACTAACTTGCCAGTGTCTTCAATACCTGCAGAATTCAGTTTTAACGCCTTGTTGAAGATTAAGCCAATTAACCCATTTCGAATACGAAGGGATAAGGTGAAGACCCATTTAATACAGAACTCAAATGTGAATGAGTCAGTCAACTGTGTGGCTAACACTATGATGGCATACACAAATCCAAGCCAAATCTTTGGTTCATTTGAGTTGACCCATCTTACTATGAAAATTAGTAACACTGGGAATGCCAACATCGCAGTCTGTGAGATGCAAATAGCAATAAATGAGAAGAGAATAGTCCAGAATTCTCTTTGTATCACCACCTTAATTAAAGATGGACTCTTCTTTTGAGACTCTTTGTCCCACAATTTGAGAAGTCGTCCATATGACCCATCAATATCTAAATTACTGGGCATCTCCCCTATGTCCTCGACATTTAAACTCCCTTTCCTCCCTTTCATTATTTGTTTCACAGACCGACGGAACAAGAACAAATTAAACAAGTTGGGATGTTTCTTAGGTGGTCTTTCTTCTTCGTCTCCTTGTGAAAAAAGACTCGAATGAATGTTTGGTGTTTTTGAAAGGGGCACAGGAGCAGTAGTTTGTTCTTCTAACATTTCTATTTCCTTAACACTCTTTTCAGAAGTATTGTCACTGTGTGTATCGCTCATCGAATGAGTGTAGACTAATAGGGTTTCCTTTATATGAGAAACTTCCAGTGTTTACTATTCCACTATTTTTGGAAAATAAATCAGGAAGATTCTAAGAGAGTACTATAGTTTAAATAAATAGTTTTATTATAGTTGTTTGTATTGTTTGAAACAAGTGGCAATAAAAATATGAGGAGTAAATATACTGATAATTCGTATGACTAATTATTATCATTAATAATAAAATTAATTTTCATTGTTATTTTTAATGATTTGTTTTATAATATGGTATTAACTTTGTTTAATTCAAAAAACGGATAACTAAACAATGGTTGAAAACTATTTTAAGAAAAAAATGTTAATGATAATTGGTGTTATAATTAATAGTAAAATTTATTAGATTTAATAAAAATTAAAATGGTTTGTTTATAACTTCATTGGTTCCCTTTTTCCAAAACAAAGTGACAGTTTTTATAATATTATTATTTAATAAATTTATAGTTTTATGTTTTTTTGTAAACAATTTAATCCAAAAATATTTTTCTTAAAATAAAAAAACCCCGAAAAATAACATTCATTAAATATAATTGGAAACAAATTAAATTATTTCATAAACTATACTTTAATAAAAATAAACGTGTAGAAAATTTAGTTGTAATTATAATGGTTGGTTGTCAAATATAAAGTTGTGGTTGTCTTTATGTTTTTAGTTGAATGAAATATGTTTTTAACACAAAAAATAAATAAATTTTGTGAAATAAAATTATGTTTTATAAAGATATAAAATAATGATGAGGACATTATAAAAATTCTATGTGTCTAAAGCAATTAAAAACTTATAATATTTTTTTAATATTGATATTAGTTGTCAAATAACCAAAAAATGAAATTTATACTTTTTTATTTTGTTATTATTTCATTGATATTGTTGTTATAACAAATAACACATTTTTACTTAAATTAATAAATGCATTGAATTAATTATTCAGCCTTTTGGAAATTATTAATAAAATAACATAAAATAATAAATAGTTGTTATCAGTATTTATAAATTGTTTTAAGAAAAACAATTTTTGACACATTAAAAACATACATAATTAAGTTCAGATGTATATGTGTTTCATTTATTTACTTATTGAAAAAAATACACAAATAAATCATCATTTCAATTAAAAAATCAATTTGTTCTTGTTCTTATAATATTTTCTCAAACTTCGTATTATCAAAGCACCCCATCCCAATTTTTGTGATATTTTCCAAGTTAATCGTTTCAAGTGAAACACAATTATCAAAACAGAAAGGAGAGAGTTCTGTTATTGACAAGGGTAACATAACTGTTTCAAGACGTGTTGCACATGCGAAACAAAAGTCTCCAATTTTAGTGATGTTATTAGGTATTTCAATTTCAGTAATTGTTGTGTTGTTAAAGAACGCCCCCTCATCAATTCTATGAACCTTTTCATCTTTTAAAATATCAATTCCAAACATTTTTAAATCGTTGAATTTCACTTTCACGTTGTCACAGATCATTTGTTTTTGTTTAAATTGTTTATATAAAGTATAACTGACTTCTCCATTATAATAAGTTGTCTGTTCTTCATTAAATAATATCAAACTCAGTGATGCACATCCTTCAAATACATCACTTCCAAATGTGATCTTATTGTTCTTAAAATTGACACGTTTGAGATTCGAGCAATTCATGAAACAACCATCTTCCACATTTTCAAGTGATTTTGGAAATGTGAGGCTCTCTAGTGAGTAACAATTTTTAAATGCAAATTTGCCAATTGTTTTCAACGTCGTTGGGAAGATCATTTTTTTCAAGTTGTAGCACTTCATAAACGTGCAATGAGGAATACATTCAATGTCTCCAAAATTGTCAAACATGACAAAAGAATTGCAACACCAAAAAACACCACTTTTTAAATGTTTGACTTTTGATATGAATTTCAGATTGAAGCAATTCATGAAACATTGTGAGTCATATAGCACTTCTTTTGACTCACAAAATACACTTTCGAGTGAGTAACAATTCGCAAAACACTGCTTCCCAACTTTCTTGAGACTTTGGGGGAGTGTAACACTCTTCAATGAAAAACAATTAAAGAACACTTTTTCGTCGATTTCTTCTAAAGTGTTTGAAAAGGTGACTTTTTGTAAAAAATGCGTGTTGTTGAAACACAACTTGTTGATCTTTTTTGTGACTAATGAAACGTCGACTTCTCTTAAATTGTATGACGCCAACTTGCAATATTCGAGTGTTTCTATTTGTGATGGCATTTCAAACTTTTCAGTGAAAGTATCATTCAAGTCAAATTGAGTTTTCCAGTAATGAGTGTTTTTCATTAACAAGTTTTTGTCTTCGTGGTTAATAGTTTTAATTACGGAGAAGTCGGCTTTGTCACCGAATTCATATAAATTTTGTTGTGTGTAATCAACATTATGGAATGTGTACCCCAATGCGTTCATTTGGAGATAAAACTTGTAGTCAACTATAACACTGTCAAAGAAAAATGTTTTAAAAGTGTTGATATCATTTTTGTTATTTTCCAAATTGTTTAATGTGTTTTTACACTCAGTAAATGATATTTTGGTGAGTTTGTGACAATTATAGAAAATTGATTGTTCGAATATTTTTATTGTTGGTGGAAATACAACTTCACAGAGGTTTTTGTATTTATTAAAAAATAACCCACTTATTTTTGTGACACTCGATGGTACTTCTATTTTTGTCGTCTCAAGAGGAAACTCGACGTAATAATTCAGTTCTTTTATATCGGGTGTAACATGATGTAAAACATATTGATTTTCAGTTTCTTTATTAATATCAACATTGCGACCGTCTTCAAAGACAATTGACTTCAAATTGGAGCATTTACTGACAAAATTTTTTCCAATTTTTGTGACACTTTTTGGGATGTACAATGAAGTCAAATATTTTGAATCAAAAAATGCCTTTGTGCCAATTTCACGCACATTCCTGGGAACAACAAAATTTTCAAGTTTTGAGCTGGAAAAGTAATCATCTGGTATGAATGTGATAGTGTCTGGAAGTTGAACACATTTTGCGTTGTCAATACAAAATTTGGATTCATTAATTAAAAGTGCATTTTCGGGTATGACAATTTTTTCGATGAGATTGTCGGAATCATAAACTTTGATTCTGAAATTAACAACAGTGGAAGGAATGTAGACTGTTAAATGATCGCTTGTGTAATTAGAATTTGTATCAAACACGTCCAAGTCGCCAAGATGGATATAATCGGAGTTAACACAAACATCATTATCTATTTCGTTGTAATTGTCCAACTTGAACACATTCTCATTAACTTCTTCCTTTTTCATCATGTTTGAAACTTTAATGTGAAGTCTTTCTAAAATCATCTTTTCGCTTTCAGTTACATTGTACAAGTGTTTCATATAATCAATTGGAACATCCAATTTGGTCAGAGAAATACATTGTCCAAAGCACCCACCGATTTCAAACACGACATTTTCATTAAAATTGAGTTCTTCCAATTGTTCACAATTTTCAAATGCAAAACTCCCAACAAATCGAACTTTTTGTGGTACTTCAAATTGACTGAGTTTATTACAATTAAAAAATGCACATTTACAAATCATTTCCAAATTGGAAGACAGAGTAATTTTCTTAAGGGAAGTGCATTCTGAAAATGCCGAATCTGCAATGATTTCTACGGTGTTGTCCATCACAACTTCTTCCAAATTTTTACAAGAACGACAAGTCTTTTGAGGTATGCACTTTTTGCCACAAAATGTGATCTTTGTGAGTGTGTTATGGACAAAAACTGATTCATCGATAAACACATTCTTCTCAACTGTAAAATTTTTAAAGGCACACATACGAAATGCTTTTCTTCCAATTAAAGTCATGTTTGTACCAAAGTCAACAGAAGTGAGCGACGAACAATTTGAAAAACAAGAATCTGGAATTACTTCTACGAGTTTTGGGAGGTGTATCTCTTTCACTCTGCTGCAACCATAAAATAAATAAATACCAAGTCTCATGAGATTAGATGGGAGTTCAATTGACGAGAGGTGAGAGCAGTCACTAAAAGCGAAATTTCCAATTTCAATTACAGAGGGCGGAAGTTTTATCGAAACTACTTGAGAACCTTCATAAAATTGTTCACCAATTTTTCGCACAAAATCAGGAATTTTGTTTTCAAAATAAGTTCGGTCATCTGTTGTGTAAACAGAGAGTGGACAGACATTGAAATTGTTCATCTCTATAAGACACTCTTTGGCACTTTTCGGATAATTGAATAGTGATTTTTCAGTGTTCAGTTTCATATCAAAAGGAGAAAAGAATTGTTGGGTCTGTATAAACTTGAATAAGTTTTTTGTTTTTGGAGTAATTTGAACTGGATTCATTCGAATACGGTCAAGTATATATTCAAACTTTTTACACACCAAAATGATGTTTATAAAGTCTTCATACTTTTTTAAATATGTCACGACTATTTGAATGGAATAGACATCAACTCGCTTTGACATGGGTTTAAAATATATTTTTTTAATTATATTCACAATAGTGATGATTTACAGTTTTATGAGGCAATTGCATTCATAACAATAAAAATAATAAATAAAATTTAAGTACTATAAAAATAATTAAAAATTATAATTTTTTTAAAAATTTTATAATTTTAAATTTAAAAATTTTGGTATTTTAACGAAAAATATAACAAACTTTTACTTTTTTTTCACAATTCTTATTCATTATTTTCATTAATTCATATCACAAAACAGTTGTTATTTTTACATCTTTAAAATATATAAATTGTAAAAATTGGTAATAAAAAAAATTTATCTTGAAAGCACCTCAAGATTTCCATAAACTGACATTATAATTTGAAACAATGGAGTTTTAACTTGGTGTGTTTACCTTTTTGGAACTTTTTTCTTACAAAAAACAAATATCAATAAGTTGCCATTTTAATAATAAACGAAATAAAATCAACCCACATTTAAATTGAGTTTTTTTTCGCTATTCAGTTTATTAAAAATATTTTTGTTATACACTGTTTATTTGGTATCACCACAGCTCTTTTAAAGTGGATTTTAAAATTACACATATACTAATAAAAACATAGTATTATCAAGTTACAAAATCCAACAAAAATAAAATGGTCATTTATTCTATCGTGTTAAATGGAAAACATTTCCAATCTTTCATTACATACCCTTCATTGCACTCTCTGCATTTTTCATCTTTGAGATCAGTCATTTTACAGCCATCTATTTTGTTTGTCTTTAATGTGCTTTTCGAGAGAATGTTTAAGAAAGTGTATTCCTCAGATAGCGTTACCCCACTGGGAACCTCACCAAACAAAATATACTTTTTGAGTTTGTATAACAACTCGTCTTGTATTTTTACATCAGATATTAAAATTTCGACTTTGCTGTAAGGTGTTTGTTCTTCTTTAGAGAATGATACCAATTTTTTGTCTTCGGGGAAAACAATTGTCGAGTTCAGAGAGAAGTCATGCAATAAACTATTTATCTCATCAAATGAATGTAATTGTGCCAATTCCACGTTCTTGGTGAAGTAGTCGTTTTCGACAGAAATAACAACTATCCGTTCTTTGCTCTGTGTTCCTGCCTCAAGAAATCCTTTTCTGAGGAGGTTGTATTCGTAAGTCACAAAAGTATAGTCTCTACGTTTGCTGCCAGCCCATGGGAACTTATACCAAGGTATTACATTCATTGTGAAGTCCAAATCATAATTCAAATAATGTGGGACCTTCCGACCTTCCACCAAATAGTCGGCTGAAGGTTGGAATGGAGGGTATTTCATCGTGAGTGTGTTGTTAGCCCAGGTGTATACATCAAGATTAAGACTGCCAACCCCAATGCCCACACCAACCTGGAGCTTAAGTCCAAAGTCTACATTTAAGGCTGCACCCCCTTCATAACCGATCTCACCTTTTGTCTCCTTTTTGACAATTTCATAAATAAGTGGGTTCTTGGCGAAATTATTGTAATTTAATTTGAATTGGTAATTCACCGTGTATTTTGTAAGGAGCTTTGCAAATATACTGAAGTCAAAATTATACACATAATTGGCCGAGAGAATGGGACCAATTGATAACAGGTAAGATCCTATTTGGAGTTGGAAAGAGGGTATACCAAGCTCTTTTAAGTCGAAGATGGGAATCTGTTGACTGGACCTAAGTTTGATGTTGAACTGGTTAACAGTGTTGAAACTCAATGTTGTGTCCATCACAATGTCTGCAGACATTCGCGAGACCCCAGCAAACGAAAGATCAAATTCAAAATTTTTCAATTTGAACTTAGCAATGGCGTAACAGTTTTCACAAGTAGTTTTAATTCCAGCGTCCAGAGCAATGTATTGTGTGCTCTGTGAGCACAACTTTTTCAAAGCAACACCAATGGGGTTTGTTGATTTTGCTACGTTTCTGCAACTTAAATCGAAAAGGGGTATCTTCTTTCTAAACCCAGAGGGGTCGTTGGGGTCGTTCCAACCTCCACTCGACGTTGTTTCAATACTGAAATATCGCGATCGCTCTGTTTTGCACATAAATTTCCCAATTAAACAGTCGTACTGGATAGATACAAATAATTTGAATGGACTTTCTTTTTTAAACACTAAGGTTGTGTTGTACCTTTGGCCGGGGACGTAATCTGGACCGTAAAATGTCTGAAGAACAATGGGTGGTTGGACAACCAGAAAGTTTGGATATTTTTGTTTCACCGAAATGTAAAATTTGTCACTGATTGGTTTGTCAACACCAAAAGTGATGTCTATCGACTTGTAAGGACTTTTGGCAGACCCGTGCTCAAAACGGATCTTTCTTTCTTGGTTGATTGTTATGTAATTTCCAACAGCCAATTTACAAAAGAAGAGTCCACACTTGAATCTCATTTGGGTATAGAAGTCCGATGAACCAGAAACTGGAGGGATCTCAAAACAACCCACTTTACTGTGTAAGTTCGTGTATCCCTGATAATAAGTGGGATCCAGTCCAAAAACATCCTTTTTTAATTCTATTATAACCAATTCATCTTCCATGTTTTCTTCATATGTCCAATGAACACATAATTGTTCTCCACTTTGATACAAATTTCCAACTTCGGGATCTGTGATGGTAACTTGGTCTGCACTTGAAGTAGGAGAAAGTACCTGAAACATGGGACTGATAGCATATTCACACCATGAAGAAAAAGCAAAGTTGCAATTGTAGTCAATTTGAAGAACCAAGTCCGTGTCTTTGACGATGTTTTTGTCGATTTGCCAAGTAAACTGTTTCAGCTTTGTTTGGACTTCTTCGTTGAGGTATTTTTTTGAAGTCACTTTGTTGCATGAAACCTTGCCACATTCAAATACAATCAAGGTTATTGTGGGGTACTTTTGAATCATTTCATTTGTATATTCCCATTCAAAAGTGATTGTGTCTTGTAATTGATAAGCTTTTCCAACAGAAGGCGATGTGACTATTATTTCAGGAATTACATTGTATGAAAAGTATTTGCTTAGATAGTATTTGTACTCAGTACCCATACATGTCACACTCATACTTATATACGCATATTCGGCCAATTCTGTTGAGTCCAACACCATTTCTTCTGCAATAACACTTCCGTCATTGTGTTCTTTTGAAACTGTCGAAGTGAAAAACATGATAGCTTCGTCTTGTTTCAAAGAAATGTGTTTTTTGATTTTCCAACGAATAGACAAGTCGGTATTTTGACATTTTGCAAAGGTTTTGAATTTTACTGTAATTTTGTCTCCACGATAAAAGACGTTTCCGATTAAAGGCTCGGCTTCTTCAATATAATCTTCACTCTTTCTTGTTCCTTTGAGAAACTTAAATTCATTTTCTTGACTGTCACTCCATGTACTTTGAATCAATTGATTATTACCTGGGTTTTGGGTGGTGTTGTGGTGTTCCACTGGAGGATGAATTTGCACTTCTTCATCATCGTCTCCACTAGAATATCGAACTCTGGCTTTTGTAAAATATTCTTTAATATCAGCATTAGATGTTTTCATAATGTATCCAAAATACCCATTTTCTTCGTATTGAAGATCAAGAGATTTGACACGACGATTAAGATTTTCACAACCCCACATCGAAGATCCAGAAATCAAATCATCTTCTTTCCAATTTTCTATTGTTTTTGAAGTTGTTACAATTTTGAGCATGTTTTCTTTTGAACAATCAATAGAATCAATAAACATAGAGCCGTCCAAGTTATGCACATTATCAGTCATTTCAACTGCATAATTTAAAATACCTTTTTCTGTACCAGTTGAAGATTTTGGAGTATGAAAAACAAAGTTTCTTTGAGAAGATAGTTTTTGTTGATCACCCAATATTGGCTGTCTAACTGGACGAGAAAGTACGATTGGTAACAAATAATATATAATCATGAACATCAGTGTATTCATTCCACGTATTTTATTGTTTTGGAGTTTAAATGCACACCAGAAAACAATGGATATAGGTATTGATTTCATTTTTAAACAATTGTTTTCATTTCCAAAAAATTACGACTTTGTTTTCAATGTTTATTTTAATTTGTTTTTTCTAAATTGTTCTTTTTTACCTATAATTTATTTTTACGAAATTTGGTAAAACAAATTAATGTTTTGTATAAATTATTTTAAAATAATTTAAAATAATAATTATGTTGAGAATTAACTCGTTGAATAGATTTATATATCATATTTAGATTAATACGAAAAATCGATCATTCCAATTTTGAAACTTTGAGGATTTTTTGTTTACATTATTAAAATAAAAACATTTGATTTTTGACAATTATAAATATATATTAATTATTTGTTATTTGAAAGAGTCATTTTTGGGGTTGAAAAATATAGAGTCATTCTCCAAACGTTGTCCTTTCTCCAACGTTGTCCCTCAGTTTTTAGATGTTTATAACTGGAATGTATCATGAATTTTTTCGAAACGCTAGAAAATCAATGTTTCAGTTTTTTTACCGTTTTTATGATTTATTACCTTATTCCCAATTATTTAAATATTTTTGTGTATTTTTAGCAAAAGGGATAACTTTTGAAGAAAGTACAACGTTTAGAGAATGACTCTATATAAATATTAAAACAAATCATCAAAAAAAAACAATCATTTTTATTGTTATGATTTGAATATTAAAAAACTTGTTTGCCAAATTTTGTAATTATAAATCTTTTCAATGTTATAATTATGAAAAAAATAAAATTAATCAATATATAATATGATATTGTAATTATATTTAAATCAACAAAATCATAATGGAAAAAGAGAAGCGTTTTTTGACAAATGAAAGTTTTAAAACATAATAATTGATTTTTTCAATATAGAAATAAAAACAAACAAATAATTCACTCTTTATTATTACATATGTTCGAATGTTTTTTTTAAATTACAGATTTGTCAATGGTTTCATGCAGCTCATACGAAAAATAATTACCGCTCAAACTTATTGATTTAAAAACTAATAAAAATTTCAAACAAGAACAATTATAAATAAATTTGTTTTAACTTTATTACAATTAATCAAATTACAATATCATTTAACCTCAAAATTTCGACTCATAGTCAGAAGAAAAAAAGACTAGCTCTTTATGATTAACTATATTATATTATAAACAATTAGTTATATCGTTTTCTATTTTTATAACTAAATTTCTATGTAACTATCTTGCAAAATATAGAATTCAATCAAAATAAACATCGTTTATTTATTTGAACGTTGTATGAAAAAACATAACTGATGTTGTAATTCACTGATTCTAAACGATGCATCTAAATTTTTGATATTTGAATTGAATTGTATCGACTTTATAATTGATTAAATGATTTTTATTACAACTTTTTGTTATGATATCTTTTATGTTATTTCCAATTCCAAAAAATAAGTGGTTGCAATTGATTTGTGTATAGTATCGACACGAATATAATAATAAAACTTTATTTTTTGTATATGAAACGTTAGTTTTTTTTAAAATGAATTTTATAATTATTAAAGTTTAATTTTAATTTCCAATTATTTTTACAAATATTTTTATTTTTTATTTTTTGGGTTTTTATTTAATTTTATTATTATTAAATTTATTTATGTTTTTGAAATAATTCAAAATGGTTTCTTATTTATAGCAATAAATATTATATTTTACTATAATTTGCAAACAAGACTTTTTCTCCCAACTTCATACAAAAGTATTTTAACATTTGAAATACAATGTTTATAATTATTGATATTCAAATATATATAAATGACAACATATAGAACGACAAATAATAAATACATAATAGTGATGAAACACAAAGGAATAGAAAATTTTATTGATGGTGTTATTTGTTTTTTGTTGGATCATAATTACAATATATCTAAATACAAACAATTGATTTTGCCAATGTTTAATCATTTAAAATGTATTTTTTTGGTTTTGTTCAAAATAAAAAAGTTAATCAAAACAACAATTTAGTATAATGGCATGATTATTTGCATTCTTTGTTTTAACCAATTTTTGTTATAATACAATTACTCTTACAATATTTAAACCGTTTTTATTATAGTTGTTGATAAATCGTATAATCAAATGAATATAAACTTATCCTATCGTTGTTCATTTGTTGTAAATTGAATGTTCTTGGTTAATGACAATATAATTAAGTTTTATAATAAATGAAAATGGAAAATAATTATCCAAAAAGTGAGTCATTTTTAAAAGTAAATTTTTTGGAAAACCCCATTCGACAATATTTTTTTTTGCCACATTTGTTATTTTACAAACCCGATATATAGCCATTTTAAGTTATTATATTGAATTAAAGTTTTATTGAATAACGTGGTTTATTGTCTGATATTTTCGAAAACTTAGTAAAAACATGATTGGGTGTAGAGAATTCGAGAATAATACAAAACATTTTTTTTATTTATTTCATTTGTCTATTTTATTTAAATGAATAATCGAAATTAACAAGTTTAAATATTTATTTGAAGGAAACATCAATTGTTTTCAGTTATGAGTATTATAGTGTTAATGTAGCAATAAATATAGTATTTAATTTACATAATTTAGCTTTCAAATTAGTTCTGACGACACCCCAAAGCGAAATATTAATAAAAATTGGCTTTAAATTTTAAACTTCGTTTATTGTTTTAATTATTATTAATTTAATACCAAATAATATAAAAATCGTTGTTACTAATATGAATGGACATGATTTGTAATTCTTTTCCAAAAAATAAAAAATAATTCAATCAAAAAAAGAATATTAAAAGTCACTTGATGCTTTTCCAATTGTGTCTATTAATTAATAATGTGTTTTCTTCAACTCTTTTTGTGAAAAGTCCATGTATTGTTTGTTTCTCCAATATAACTTTTCCACTTTTTAGATTTAATAACATTATTATTTATTATTATAAAATAAATCAATATTGATCTTAAGCCCAACTTACGAGTTGAAAGTCTGAACTATTTGGGTATCAGTGGTGATGCTGGCACTCATGCCAAAATCACACGAGATTGTAACAAAGAAATTCCAAACAAAGAAAAAGAAGTTTTAGCTCTTTCCTCCCACACAAACTGTTATGTCTCGGAAGACAATTTTTATCGTTATGTCAAAGGAATAAAATACCCACAATGTGGTGCATGTGTAGAGCTTGTTGGGCCAAGTCTCAAGAAAGCTGTTTGTACAATAGTTGGGGCATTTTCAATTGACCCAACAAACAACAACGAAATTTCGGACTTTTCGAATTTGTTTCCAAACGGAACTGAAAATTTCCAAAATGCAAAACTCCCAAATTTAGTCAAAAAAATTGATATTCAAAAATATTCCAACAAAATGGAAAATTCCAAAACTTGGGACTTTCAAAATACACCACAAGAAAAAATTTCCAAAAATCGTGGAAAAAATTCAGATTCAAATTTGGAAAACCAAGATACGAAAGAAACGACGAAACGTACATTTTTTGTAAATAACGACCTCTTTAGATTTCTTGCGGGGTACGAGGACAACAAAGCTGATATAGGAGTTTCCATCCCGATTGTTGCGCAATTCGTAAATTGTCCTTCAAAAACGCCTCCCTGTGCTGTGATGACGAAAGAGACAAAACAATCGAATGGAACGAGTTTAGCCCATGTCTCTATATTCAACACAAACCAACTTACTTTAAAAGTCGAGTATAATAACAACTTTTATTACTTTGACGAGAACATGCAGTTTAATATACTTTTCGAAAGGACGGAGAACCAAAAAGACTTTTTAAGAGTTCACGACATCTTTGGAGGAAGAGTTGTGATTCCATTTTCCTTTGAAATTAATCAGACATATCAGTCCACAACTATTTCACAACAATATTATATCATCGAAGATAATTGTTCCTTGGTGTTGAGTAACCAACTGTTTGTGACCAAAGAAAACGACGACCCCGCCATGATTTGGGGCGTCAGACATCACGACAATGACGATTTGAAAAAGAGCGTAATATTAAATAACACAAGAGACGTGTTGTTTAACAAAACTGTCTACCTTTCAACTGCTTTTCCATTTCCTATTAAAATATCAAAACATTATGCCATATTGAATTTAAAACTGGAAACAACAGTGCCACTCATTGAAATACCATTGTTGCAAATATTTTCGTATGTGGGGAATACGTCCACTATGGAGGAAGTAAAGTGTTCGAAAGACTTTATTTATAGAAGAAACGTGACGTATAAAAATGGAGTGTATTATATTGATGCAAGATCATCAATGACAATGGCTCGATGTTATTCACAAAGTTTGTTATTATTAAAATGTTAGAAACAACATGTATATTGTTTTTAATATAATATAATATTATAGAATATAATAGACATGTTTTTTTACTTTATAAATATAATAACACACTTACTTTGATACTAAGTATATTGACTAATAGTGAATCTTATGCTTATAAAATACGTTTCAAATCAAGTCGGAAAAGTCTCAATTACACACTTTTCTTTCGACCAAGCTTATCCACTCAACTTTACAATGTGCTCAGTTGAAGATTTGAGATGCACAAAAGATGACGAGTGTGATCCAACAAATTCCACAATTGATTCTGAGGATGGAAAAATAAGGGTCTTCAAAAAAGGATGTATTCCGTTTTGTGGGATCTGTTCAAAAAACGAGGTGTGTAACAAAAATGCAAAATGTGTGACAAAGAAAACAATGAATACAAGAAATTGTGAATCTACACTTTTTATGTTGTTGACTGTTTTATTTATTGTTTTGGTGTAGTTCAATTTTAAAAGATCAATCGAAGAGTTTTAAAACACGTTCTCTATTACTTTGGCTATACAGACAAGATAATGTAATTAAACATCTTAACAAAAACATTAAAAACTTTGAATGTAAACATTATTCTAAATTATATGTATATAATGTTAGATACCACATTCATAACAATTTGATCAAATTATGAGTTCAACATTTCAATCTAAAAATACAGATTATTATAATTTAAATGTCAGAAATTATTCAAAACATTTCAACAAAATGTAATCTGTTAAATATTTTAAGTCCTTCACATTTTATGAACGGGTAGTGACATGTTGATTATTTTTATTGTTTTAACTATAATTAGTAGATATATTCACTGTTTTTTTGGTTAAAAACAAATTGTGAAGAAACCGACTTGTTCACAATATATATTAAAAGATAAAACTAACAATCTTAATGATATCTTCGACTTTGTTTAAACATCACGTCGTTTTGCATGTGAAACCCAAATCGCTTCCTCGAATTTACATAGATGGATGTTATGATTTATTTCATTGGGGACATGCTAACGTTTTTAGGCAAGCTTGTGAACTCTTCAACTTTAATTGTGTTTTGGTTGTTGGAATTTGTGAAGATTCTTATATGAAAGCACATAACAAAAACCCTGTATTGACTAACGAAGAAAGAATTCTCTCGGTTATGTCATGCCAATTTGTTGATGAAATAGTGGATGGTATTGACACATGGAATTTAACTGTTGATTTAATTAATGAACTTAAGATTGACTTTATTTTTCATGGTGTTGTGAATTCATTTGATATTTCGAATGGTAAGAATTGTTACCAAGAAATCATCAATACTGGCCGTTTGAAATTTTTAGAAAGAACTGATTGCGTTTCGACTTTGGATTTTATTAAAAGAATGAAAAATGAAATAAACAAACGGGATCTCAAAGAAGTAAACAAACATGTTATTGATGATTCTTTGATACAAACATTTTCTTTGTTCAAAAAAGAAAGAAATGAAAACGATAGTGTTGTGTTTATCGATGGATGCTTTGATATGTTACACGTTGGACATTATGAGTTATTTAGAATAGCAAAAGACATGGGAAAGCATCTAATTGTAGGGATTTATGATGATGAAATTGTCAAACAATTAAAAGGTAAACACTTTCCAATTATGAACTTGAAAGAAAGAACATTGAATGTTCTTGCTTGCAAATATGTTGATGAAGTGATTCAAAAAGTTCCATACGTTGTTTCTTCACAATTTTTGGATGAACATAATATCAGTGTAGTTGTTCATGGAAAAGTATTAAATGGAGTTGGTCGAGAATGTTATAAACAAGCGATTGAAAAAGGTATTTACAAAGAAAAAGACTCTGGAAAAACAGTAACTTCAGAAGATTTATTCAGAAGAGTTACTCAAGAATAATTTGTTGGTATGTTAAGTTTAAATTAGTATAATTATTTTAATTAAAATACATAAACAAAAAAATGTACATAAATATCAATGACACTTTTTTGTTGCTTAATTTGTTATAATCAAATCAAAAAATAGTTAAAACTACAATTTTTTGTCATTTAAAAATTGTAAATACTAATATAAACTAATACTAATTAATTAATATTACTTTTAATTATTCATCACAATCCATATCATTAAAATCGCCTTGGTGTTTCTTTTGATGACCAATTTTAGGTTGTTTGGTCGACACTCTTGTGTTTCTTTTTCTTTTTTGTATCTTCATTTTATGCGGGTCTTTCTTTTTAGTTTCTTCAATGGTTTTATTTATAACGACATTCAAGTTTAATTCTTTTTCATTGAGTATATCCAAATAATTAACTTCCTTATTTTCTCCATCAACAAGTACACTTTTCGTTGATGTTGGTAAGCTGATTTTGAAAGTCTTAATAGCGAATTGACCAATCAACATATTAACAAAATCAAAGACTTCAATCGAACTATTTTTGAAGTCGATTGGATCAAATATTTTACTGACTGACATTCGCACTCGAATTGGGTTTACTGCGCATATAAAATCAACGACTTGCTGATTTAATTCTGCATATTCAAGATTTAGTTTTTCAACTCTTTTTGTGAAATCAAATTTCACTTCTCGTGTGTTTTGAATCACTTCCGTATGACAAAAAGTGAAATTTGTTGTCTTCTCTCCTTTCAAAATTAAAGAATTCAATTCTTCAGATATCGGACAAACATCAAAAAACACGTCGTGAGAACATCCGGTAAAATTGAATTCCAAATTTAGAAGTTCGAAGTAATAAACGTTTCTAATTATATTTTTGACTCGTTTAACACAAGATGGAAGTAGAATGTTATTCACAAAACCTTTTATTTCGACTTCATTTATAAGAGTCATAGATAAGTCGAGAGTTTCAATACCACCTACTATCACTATACTTTCAAGACTTTGTGGAACTAATACACTTTTTAATATAAAATCCATTTTATTGGCAAGAACAAGCTGTTTTATGTTAAATAAATTTATTAGACTGAAAATGTCGTCTTTAAAAATTTTTGAATTGTGGTCAAATGTGACGGAAAGTTTTTTTAAGTTTCCAATAGACTCGATTTGATGAGCGACGTCAGAAACACTCTCATGAATTTTCACGGAAATTGAAACGTCTTTGTCGTCATTCAAATACACAAGTTTGGGCGATTTTGTATTTTCTACATTTGCATAGGTCTGTGTAACAATAAACCAATTGTCTGGCAAACTTTCAAGTGGTTTTATGTTTTCAATTTGGCGCACCAAAAAGAGGACTTTTGTGCTATGGGAAAGATAACACTTTGCAGCATTAACGATAAGTTCTAAATCTGTTGGCGAAATGACGAAAACAACTTTATGAAGAAAAGGAAAATTGCGAAGTTCTTTTATTCTTAACGGAAATTGTTTTTTATTTTCTGAGTAATAAAAACTCTGGTGTTCAATAATAATTCTCAATTCCTCCAATTTGGGGAAATTGAGATGTGATAGGAGACCATTTTTAATATTCACATCATTGTAATCCATTGTCAAGCTTCGCATTTTCGAATTTATAAAATCATATGAATTCTGCAAAGAAATTGTTTGTTTTTTGTCGTCGGAGAGATAAGTTGAAAATTTGGAGAGAAGAGTCTCGCTGAATTTATTATTGCGAAGTTCATTTAATAATAACGTGTAGTTATAAATAAGTTGATCAATGTGTGGAAAATACTTATAAATAGTTTTGAGTGAGATAATGGAGTGATTTAATACAGGGTTTGTCTTTAATCTGGAAACAGCAGAATTGCAATTCTTTGAAACTGAAAGAAATAGTCTAACTGTTTTAATCGAATCTGCATATAAAATCACATTCATTAAATAAATAACCTCAAGTCGAGTCATTGGAGTTAATTATTTGATTTTTTTGTTTTTTATGAGTTAAAAAGTTTGAGGCTTGAATTGTTGTTTTATTGGTAATATTATTAATACATTGTATTGTAGTTGGGTGTTTTAAAAATATGATAAAAAAGTTAGTGATATGTTTAATTTTTGTTTTTGATTAAACAATTAATTGACGATACTAAAAACGAAATTTAATTGTTGTGTTGTGACATTGAATTACAAAAGCCAAATTTAATTACTTTATGTTTTTTGAATACAAATGATGTTTTTGATAAAACCCACAAAATGAGTAATTATTAAAGGGGTTTTGTCACCTATCAATTCGAGCTCAGTTTATTAAAACTCGTGGAATATTTGGTGTGAAGGGGTCAAAGTGTTAAATAAAATATCAATTCATAAGTTATATGACTTTTAATAATAATAAATATCGATACAAATACAAAATGGTTGTTTATATTAAAATATGGTTTTACATATATAGAGAGATTTTTTTAAACAACTTTAATAAAACTTTTAAAATATGGATTAAGTAGCTTATATCGTCTAACCCCGCTTTCTCTTTACTGTAACATAAAAAAACAAATAAAATAATAACTTAACATAAACATATATTTAAAATTTGAAATTAAATAACAACATTATTTGTATTTGGATTATTTTTAGAGTTTTAATTGGAAATTTATTGAATTTAATATTTTAATGGTTTATAATATATTTAATTTTTGCACCTTTATAAGTTTATAGTTTTATATTGATAACGAGGATTCAGCTTTCCACTAAGTGGCGGGGACCCCCCAAACAGCAAAATAATAATATATTCATAATTAAAATGAGACAATCACCAAGGAAAGTGACCCAAACAAAAAAATAAGCTAAAGCTTGGGCATAAACAAATACAAATATTATGTCCAGAACACTTTCTATATATCGGATAACCATCTGTTTGTACCGTTTCATCTGAAATTTTCCCGGAAAACCCATTTGAACATTTTCTGTTATCAATGCAAACACTGTCTATATTGTTCATATTGTTCAAGTGTTTTTATTGTTGGTAAGGTAACATTTCTCATATAATCAACAATTTCTTTAATTTTGCAGACATTGTCATGGTGTTTTTCGATGAGGTTCTCGAACTTACTTACATTAATAAATGAACCGTACTTTTTTATAAAATAGATACAAAAAGATTTATTTAACGACGTAAAAAATTTTTCTGAAACACTCATATGTGAATGTTTTAAATTTTTTATTAACCGTAGGAATAAGGAACTGAAAAAAAGAATTAAAGGGGTGGAAAACCCGCTCCAGGAAAAAACTGCTTTTGGTAATTTTTGGTGAATAATGGTAAAATGTTTTCTAAATGTTATTTTATTTTTTATTTAAACAATAAGAAAAATAACATCATTTACATTTTGCCTGAGCATTGTTTCGAAGTGTTTAGAAGAAGGCTGTTAAAGTCCATTTATATTATGGTGAAAAGTTGAGTTATTACAGAATTTATTTGAAAGAAAACGGGAAACAGCTTACAATCGTAAGAAATATAACCAAATATACATAAATTTTTAATTAAATTTTATTATAATATATTAGTGTAGTAAACGCAGTGTTTGTTAGTCTTATATCGTTTGAATTAACAAACCAAATTATCATCTTTGCAGTCTGCCTCATCATCTTCCTTATCTTCAGAGTAATTTAAATTAAGTCTTTTTGTCATTGTTGTTTTTGTGCTTTATTTTGTCTTCATAAACACATGAGTTCAAGTCTAAGTTGTCACTGTCGTGGTTTTGATGTTGTTAAACATAATAAACAAACTGTTTGACCTTGCAATGAACGAGATAATTTGATATTGTCGCTTTTGGAGATCTCCTTATAAACCCTTATAATTGGTAAAAAAAGAACTTACATTTTTTTAAAAAAATCATGTTTGCGATAAAACAATACCAAGTGTGTAAATTTTGATTATTAATAAAGTTAGAGCATTATGTAATTATTTTGCTTGGATATTGTCAAATGAAAAATAAGTTTGTTTTTAAATGTTCAATCTGTTGTCAACCCATGATTTATATTATAATTAATGACATTGCGAAAGATAAAAATGGAATTGAATTAAATAATATATTAACTATTTATTATTATAATTTAACCATATCTGCACCTAAAATTTACTAATAAAATTAATAAATTTACTATTAAATAATAATATATACCATAATTATCATTTTACTTATGCTCAAATCCGAACAGAATGAACATGAATTGATTCATTTGACACAACGTATCGAAGCCGTAGTTGTCGTTGTGTGTCTCTTTTGAAATATACAAATGTTGAGTCGTTTTCTTTACTTTTCAGACCCACCATTTGATCAATTAATGTTTTTAGTTATTTTATTCTTCTTTATAAAAGTATGTGCTGAAATCCCAAAATGTTAGATATATTTACTTTAATAAAATGAACAATATAGTCCATCAAATAGTAAGTAAGTTGTTGATAATCATTTTTTATAATTAGTGAATAAAAGTCTAAGAACACCTCTAAGATAAACAACACATAAACTTTCACTTTGGCACAATGTCTTCTTAATAACGTATTGGGCTGATAACAGTCAAGGTCTACATGATGTTTTCAACAATTCTAATGGAAATGCACTTTTGGGCAAGCATTTTGGCTGGAGGAAAAACCCGCTTCACAACCATTTACTTGTTTTATTGTATAGAAAAATAACCTTTTTTGGCATTTTGCCGAGTTTTAAAATAAAAAATAATACGGTGGCGAAAAACCACTTTAGATCTTTTTGTCTTTTCGTAACCAAATTCTTATTGTTTTATGATAAAAACTTATCCAATAACCAAATATTGCCTTTTTAAATTGTGGAAAAATGGTGTGTTATTTCTCGGCATACAAATATTTTTTAACCAAATGTATTGAATAATACAAAAACACATAATATACTCGAACAATCATTTCACCATACAGATTGCCGTACTTTTGGAACGTCCACAGTATCTTCCCAGTCTTTTTAACATTTCTCTGCACGGCGGGAAAACC